ATATAAACCTTAAACCCTGAACCCTAAACCCTAAACCCTAAACCCGAACCCCTACACCCGAAACCCTAAACCTAAACCCTAAACCCCGAAACCCCTAAAAACCTAAACCCAAAACCCTAAACCCTTCTCCTGGGTACCAGGCCGGGCTGGACCATCCTTCGAAGAATAGAGTCGAGGGTTTAGGAGTTTAGGGGTTAGGGTTTAGGGTTTAGGAGTTTAGGAGTTTAGGGTTTAGGATTTGGTGGGTTGAGGGTTTAGGAGATTAGGGGTTAGGGGTTTAGGGTTTTAGTTTGCGGAAGGGGGTGTTTAGGGTTTAGGGGTTAGGTTTTAGGATTTCAGGATTAGGCTTGTGACAAAGGCTTTCAAGACTTATACAGGTATACCCAGGGTTGGTCAGGTCTGCGGGTGTCTAGCGGGATTTCTATGGGGGCATGTGCTTCAATGGGTGAGCCTAGAATCTTTAGAAATGTCTTACAACAATTTTATAGGATATACTGTCAAAGGGCTCTGGGTGTTAAGTTTTGGATGTCTTGGTCAATCACGGCCACAGCCAGGTCACCCGTACTCATGTCCAATTTTTGTCTGGCACATCTCTGACCCTCACGGCGCGAAAATTTCGATACTTAACCAAAGCCCTTGACCCAAAGCCTTAAACCCTAAACCCCTTAAACTAAACCCGGTATCGGCCTGGGTGTTCCTTGCCGGCTGCCACGGAAGCCTTCGGCACAAGAGGAAAGCTCTACAAATATGGGGATCCGGAATTGGCTAGTCCAGGGCGTCGAAATGATTAGTCAGAGCACCCGCTTATGATCCCCATATTAGTACATCATAATATGCTCCAAAACCATACTCTAGTTATTCAGGCCCCTGTAGTTGGAAGCTTCTCGGACTTGAATGGCTCTTGCCCCCTACCTTTCAATCCCGGCACCCTGTGCACTTTGAACAGGGCTTGAGAGGTTGACCGAGGCTCTGCATCTGCAGCCATAAGAACCACGGGCTTAGCCCACAAACGTCAGGATGTAGTCACTACAGTATAGAAAAAAAGTCGTAGGAGGAACTCTAGACATCTGAACTGCCCATCAACACACTCGAACACAGTAGAAGCCCAAAAGTTGGAAACCCAATAGCCTCAATCCTTAAGAGTATTGTACAGGGAAGAATTCTTCCTAATCCGGTTTCCAACTTTTGGGGGTTTATTATAAAGATTCAAGCCTTCCAGCCTTCGGGTATTACCATGGAACATCAAGGAACCCTCAACGGTGCGAATCCCAAAACCTTGGAATTTGAGCAAAGCTTTAGAAGGTTCTGCAATGTCTCACTACGATTTACAGAGGCTTTACAGAAGGTTAGACGGAAACCGAAACCTGCAAGGTGGCGATGTGCGTCGACGGCATGGACTTGGCACGAAGGTACCTGGCGGCACGGGCCCAACAAGGCTTACATGTTGCCCCTAAACCCGAAACCCTAGATTCAAAATCCTGAACCCTAAACATTAAAAACTGAACCCTAAACCCTAAACCCTAACCCTAAACCCTGAACCCTAAACCCTGAACCCCAAACTGAACCCTTAACCCCACATCCCTTTTCGATTCAACGCTTACACGCCCCAAAAAGAAGCTTCCAGTGGATCTCACTCGATCAGCTCCTGGCCAAGCTCTTCTTTGTGGGCACCCAGGGCCTGTACCAAGCGAGGCAAGCTTGCGTCTTTTGAAGCTTCCTTGGGATCCAAAAGGGTTCCTGAAAAGGGGGTCTAGCTTCCTTTAAGAGATCTATAGGCATTCCTTTAAAGGGATCTATAAGGGTTCCTCAAAGGGGTTTAGGGTTCAGGGTTTAAGGTTTAGGCTTTCAGGCTTTAGGACTTCAGTGTTTCTGGGGGTTCCTTGGGCTTTGGGGTTTGCAGCTTCAAGGCTTAGGGCCCGAGGGGTGTCTGGGCTTAGGCTTTAGGGTTTCGGGTTCAGACACTAGAGTCAGACACTAGAGTCAAAGGGGAAAAGGGGGGACCCTTAATTTAGGGCTCTTAGGGTTCCTTTAAAGGGATCTATACGGGTTTTGGGTTTAGGGTTTAAGGGAAAAGGAGGGACCCTTAATGGGGACCCCTACCCTATAATGGGCTATATAATGGGTATATACTAGCTACATTAAGGAAATATATACTATAGGGGTCCTTATTAAAGGTCCCTCCTTGTACCCTTGGATAGAGTGCTCCTCAAAGTTCATGGCGCGCTTGGAAGTGTTGTTTGTTGCCTTGCGGTCCGAGCGTGGAGGAGTTTATGCCAGCCGTGAGAGCGGCAAAAAACCGTGACGAGGTCGGCTTTATGCCTATAAACGTTCTTATGCCTGTTTAGTCTCTGACAAGACATGACCACAAAAATGCACATGCAACAGGGACAAGATCTAGAAGCTTTTCTAACAGCAGCACCCACAATGTCACGAGGAGGGGAGGAAGCGGAGGAGGAGGAGGAGGAGGAGGAGGAGGAGGAGGAGGCAGGAGCAGCAGCAGTAGCAGAAGCAGTAGTAAAGGGAGTAGAAGTATGAGTAGTTGTTGTTGTTGTCGTCCTTGTTGTCGTCGTCGTTGTCGTCGTCAGGGCCGGCGCCGTGGTCATCGACGCAGTGGTCTTCGTCGGCATCGACGTCGTCATCGCCGTCGTACTCGTCACCGCCGCCGTCGTCCATGTCGTAGCAGCAGCAGTACTAGCGGCAGCAGTAGCAGCAGCAGCAGCAGTCGCAGTAGCAGCAGCAGTGGAAGTTGCACTAGCAGGAGCAGCAGCAGCAGCAAAATGTCCTGTGGTTGTAGCCGTTGTGATTATCGTCGCAGTATCAGCAGTGATCGTCGTCGCTTCCGTAGGTGCACTAGCAGTATCAGCAACTGCGAGAAGAAAAATGCGAATGTTATTTATACAGATATGTGTGCATGTGTATGTATATACATATATGTATATATACATTTGTGTGTGCATATGTATGTAGACGTATAGAAACACATATACACATCTACCTTCACACATAGACATAGACATACACGAAAAAGTAGACATAACACAGGCATACATGCACATACATTTATGCACATATACCTATATATATATATATATATATATATGTACACATATGCTTCTACCTCTACATCTCCATATGCACATAAGTAGACATATTCATATACATATGCATATGCATATGCACATACAGATACAGGTACATATATACGTACATATACATACACACATACACATATACACATATACACATATACATACTCATACACATACACGTAGACATATACAAATGCATATGTACATATTTGCACATATACATATACACCTATACTCATATATACATATATACGAATACACAAACATGCATATACATATATACACATATACATATACATATGTACATACAGACATAGACCTAGACATATACATACTCTCATCTACATATGTATATACACATATATGTATACACATATATATATATATATCCATGTCTATATGTAAACCCATACCCACATCTACATCAGTACCTATATCTATATCTTATCTGTATCTGAATATATATATATATATATATATAGATATATATATATATAGATATATATATATATATATATAGATATATATATATATAGATAGATATATATATATATATATATGTATACATATATGTATGTATGTACATACTCGTATACATATGTCCCACAATACAAAATCGTCAAGCCCCCACTGCTAAATACATTGCATGAAGTCCAAAACCTATCACTTAACATAAAGCCCTGTAAACCTGAATCCCTCAAACCTCAAAGACCCTAAACCCTAAACCCCAAACCCCTGTAAACCTAAATCCCTCAAGCCTCAAAGAGCTGCTTCAGGCTCTCCAGGCCAATCTGCGGCAGTTGGTTTATCGCTGCCACGAAGTGGCGGGTTTAGGGTTTAGGGTTTAGGGGTTCAGGGGTTTAGGGGTTTAGGGGTTTAGGGGTTCAGGGGTTTAGGGGTTTAGGGGTTTAGGGGTTTAGGGGTTTAGGGGTGTAGGGGTGTAGGGGTGTAGGGGTTTAGGGGTTTAGGGGTTTAGAGGTTTAGCGGTGTAGGGGTTTAGGGGTTTAGGGTTGAGGATCTTGGGTTGCGCAGCGATACTAGGGGGCCTATAAGGTTTAGAGTTTAGGGCTTAGGGTTTGTGAAGATCTTGGGTTGGGTATTATGGGGGCCTTCTAATCATCAGAAGAGGGTTCCTTTAAAGGGATCCTTTAGAGGGGTCTATGAGGGATCTGTAGTAGGGTTCTATAACGCAGGGGTCGAATGGGGTTCCTTAAAGGGTTCTATAAGTCGTCTATAAGGGATCTATAGTAGGGTTCTATAAAAAAGGGACTTAATAATTGGAGGAAGGTTTTGGGTCCCATTATATCATACTCATAATAAGGAACCCCCCAAAATAGTATTGGTAATTATTTAGGCCTCTATAGTAGCGATACTGTGCTACGAGGGCTCTGTGTTTCTGTGCCACTGCACTTCTGCGATAGTTGCTGGTGGTACTAGTATGTACGAGTGGTACTAGCAATACTGGTATACTAGCAGTGGCCCTAGTAGCACCATCGTTGCGAGTAGTAATTACCAGTCTTCGAATATATCGGCGTTTGTGTTTATGTTTAACTTGTGATATGTATATTCGCTTAATTCACGAACTTGGTTTCTATTGCAGATGCAGCACAGCGATCGGCAAAGCGGAAAGTGCTTTTGGCTGCGCTGAACTGAGTCGCTCAGACAGTCCCTAATGATACAGGCGTGGAATTTGCGGAGTCGGACCAAAATTGAACTTGAGAGCGTTTCCTTCGGTCCCTATGTGAAAACGCTCATTAAATGTACGTCGTTGTAAATAGTAAACCCCTACTTCTGAGGGGTAAGGGCGACGCTAGGGAACAAAATCTTGCTTGCGTTGTACATGCGCTGCATACAACTACACAGATGTCGCCAGCTGCGGCGCCATCAACAAAAGATGTCAATTGGCCCGGACTAGACGTATCCGCCGAGTCCAGTTTCGCCAACTGCTTCGATCATGGTGGCATTGACACTTTGGATGAACGTGAACACATCAGGCATGCCGGGATCAGTGCTGTTCCCGGTGCATGCCGTGTTCGTGCAGCACTTGTCACTTGTCTCCTCCAACTTTTTCAGGATGCGCTTTGCCGCCATCTTCTGGACGAAGGATCTAAGGGGATCCTTCTCAACGGCCGCCATCATCATCAGCTGAGCCTTCTCCCGAAGGTTCAGGTCATTCATCTCCCTCGGAGGTGTTGTATAGTAGCCTTCGATGTTCACGAAGGGTCCAAAGTGCCCGCCGCCATTCAGCATCATTGAGTAGCATGCCTTCAGGTGAGTCTCGCCACGTTCTGGGATGAAGAGTGTCTGGTTGTGCTGTGACAAAGCGTCGATCATGCGCCTCATCCTCTCTTGTTGGGCAGGATCCTGAGAGAGATCCATGCTTTCGGAAGGGTCCTCCTCCACGTTGAAGAGGCACCCGTGAGCGCAATCGCCTCGCCAGTAAGACTTGTCTCCGAGGTCTGGCTTCTTCTCCAAGACTCCGAAGTCAATGAAGTCGGGGCCCTGGCCACCCGTCATCGAGGAGATGGTGCTGCAGTTGGGATACAAGGGGCCCGTGTGCCTCTTGTTTAGGGTTAGGGTTTACGGTTTGGGGTTTAGGGTTTAGGGGTTTAGGGTTTACGGGTTTAGGGGTTTGGGGGTTTAGGGGTTTAGGGTTTAGGCCCGTGTGCCTCATGTAGGGCTGCTTCCCTGTGATCAGCTTATATGGGTATTCCAACATGGCGTTGCCGGAGATGAAGAGGGATTCGTTGGCCCAGGGCCCAGGCTCTCCCTTCAAGATGGCTTCCAGTTGACCCTTCTTCCCGTCCACTTTGCCTGGGTTCTTGTTAAGGAATTTATTCTAAGTTGCGATTAATAAGGAAGGCGCAATATGTTACTATAGATCCCTATCCTCAACCCCTAAACCCTTCTAGAACTCTTCATGGAACCCTAAACTATGGTAACTTACAGTAAATTAAACTCCTTAACCCCTTAAGCCTTATAGAACCATTAAAGGAACCCCAAATTATGCTAACTTAAACCAAATCCTTAACTTACCTTAACCCCTAAGCCCTTCCCCTAAACCCGAAACCCCAAACCTTATCCCCTAAACCCTAAACCCCAGACCTTAAACCATAAACGCTGAACCCCTAAACCCCAAACCTTAGACCCCAAACCTTATGCACTAAACCCTAAACCCAAAACACTAAACCTTAAACCCTAAACCCCAAACCTTAAACCCCAAACCTTAAACCCCAAACCTTAAACCCCAAACCTTAAACCCCAAACCTTAAACCCCAAACCTTAAACCCCAAACCTTAAACCCAAAACCTTAAACCCCAAACCTTAAACCCCAAACCTTAAACCCCAAACCTTAAACCCCAAACCTTAGACCCCAAACCTTATGCACTAAACCCTAAACCCAAAACACTAAACCTTAAACCCTAAACCCTAAACCTAAACCTTAAACCTTAAACCCCAAACCCCAAGGCCTAAACCCTAAACCCCAAACCCTAAACCCCAAACCTTAAACCCTAAACCCTAAACCTTAAACCCTAAACCCCAAACCTTAAACCCCAAACCTTAAACCCCAAACCTTAAACCCCAAACCTTAAACCCCAAACCTTAAACCTCAAGCCCAGTTGCTCAGCTCGGTGAGGCCTTGTGCTTTCAGCCAGACGTTGGCCCTGGCCGCCTCGGCGTCCTCCGGGTCGACGCCCGCCAACTCCTGGGATCTTGTTGAGCGGGTTTAGGACTTTTTTTGTTTAGGGATTAGGGTTTAGGAGTTTAGGGGTTTAGGGTTTAGGGGGTTAGGGATTAGGGTTTAGGGGTTTTAGGGTTTAGGGATTAGGTGTTTAGGGTTTAGGGCCAACTCCTGGGCTCTTGTTAAAGGGAATTTGTTTTAAGCTACCATCATTTAGGGTTCCTTTAAGGGTTCTAAAAGTGTTTAGGGGTTAAGGTAAACGAAGCATTTTTCATTCTAAGTTACCATAATCTGGAAACCATATTAGTTACTATAGATCCCTAGTATGGTAACTTAAATCAAGTGCCTTAACAAGAACCCAGACTCGGAGAACATGGTGTACCAGTCGGCCAAGGAGACCACGCCCTTGTGTACCTTTCCGCGCCTCTCCTTGCGGATTAATAATAGTAAGGGTGCCCTTTTTCCTAATATTCAGTTCCAATAAGGGAACCCAAGAAGAAAAAAGGGCAGAAGGGTACTACTCAGGAACCTAGTCTCCTTGGGGATGTAACCTCCTGACATGAAAGTCGTGGTGCGGACGCCGCCCTCGAAGTCGGAGTACTTCCCTCCACGAAGCGGGTAGTTGTTGGATGACCCAGGCTCATAGATGGGGCCCCCGTTGTCCGTGGTAAAGACCACCAAGGTGTTCTCCCACATGCCCTTGTCTTTCAAGGCCGTGGTCAGGTTCTTGATGGTGTCGTCCATGTACTTCCTGGGCTCTTGAAAACGGAACTTTGCTTAAGTTACCATCATGAGGAAACCATGTTATTTACTGTTGATCTCGATTGTGGCAAGCCTTAACGAGCCCAGCTTCGTCATGGCCATGATGAGGCGGCGGTTCTCCGAATCGAAGGCCCGGCCTCCCTTTGAGATCACACTCTCCTCGATCTGGTCGAAGTAGTACTTCGGCACCTGCAAAGGCGTGTGCAGCAGGTGAAATGCATGGAAGAGGAAGAGCGGATGCTCTTCATCAGATGCATCGTGGTTCTTGATGACTTGCAAGGAATAATCCTCGAACATCTTCTCTTCGTAGCAGGCTGGCGATCGCTCCTCACTGTGTTTGCAGGCATCGGTAAGCTCCGATCCAGTGTAAGGCCCACGGTAGGTGTCATTCTCCACCATGATGTCATAGAATGGATCCCTGTCTTCTTGTTCCAGTAGTCGTTGGCATGCTGGTAGTAGAGGAAGCTTGTGTTGAAGCCGCGGCCATAGGGCGTGTGCTGCGGCGTGGCCATACCCGCATCCCACTTGCCTGTACTCTTCTGGTAGGGTTGGGTAGGGTTGTGGTTGTTTCCCTGGTTTTCCGTAGATTGCGCCTTTAGGGGGTTTCAATGTTATGGGATTAGGCTGTAGGATTGTGGATTTCGTTTGCAGCCCAAGTGCCCGTGTAGTGCGTGCGGTAGCCGCCCTCGCGCACCTTGGCACCCATGCCTGTCATGTTTCGGGGGATGCCTGCGTAGCCGCTGACCGGATCCTCCTCGTTGCGTGCGGTCACTGCGACGTTCTTCACGAGGACGTGAGGTGCCAAGCGACCCGAGAGCAGCGAGGCTCGCGCGGGCCCGCAGATACGGTAGGCATAGTGGCGATCCAAGTTGATACCGTCCTTCACCCCACTATACTACAATTATAATCAGAAACCCAAAAAAGCATTGGTAATTATGTAGGCCCCAATAATATACCGTCCTTCACCAGCTGGTCGATGGTTGGTGTCTGGACCTCCAGCTGCCCCTGCTTCTCGTCCTCATTGCTGGCGCTTTGCCTGTGAAAGCCGATGTTGGCCCAGCCCAAGTCGTCAGCCAAGAGGAACAGAATGTGCGGCTTTTTCTTGCCCAGCGCAGTCGTGAGGTAAAGAGCCGCAATGATGTGACCAAAGCGCATTGCGATGCAAAGTTGCTGACGAACTATGTGCTAGCTGAAAATGCCTGAGCCCGAAGATGCGAAGACTCGCGGGCTCCGTCCACCAAAAGCTTTGTTACTGCATCTGAGCATTAACAGAACAAGCAGAAATGGCAGCAGTGATCGCAACTGCACCAAACACCCCTCCTTCGACTGATGCCCTCAGATCTCATGCTCCTCCCCCCCTCCCACTACGACCCTGAAACTTGGAGGCCAAAAGCCGCTGCGAAATGCCCTCTAGGAATCATAGAACCCTACTGTAGATCCCCTACTATAGACCCCTTTACAGATCCCTTTCAAGGAACCCTATAGGTCATTGCTTAAGGCCCCTATATTGGGTGGTTGTCAAAAATAGGATCCCATTTTGGGCACCTTAAATAATAGGTGCCGTAATATAATGGGGACCCAAAAAGGGACCCTAATTCTGACAACCACCCATATATCCCCTACTATGGACCCTTTAAGGATCCCTTTAAAGGAACCCTTTAGCTAATTATTTAAGGCCCCTATATATTAGTATGCAATGCTGCGGCTCCGGCCGGGCAGCTTCGGCGAGAGCCCACGGCAAACTCGCGGACTGGCCATGCGATGCGGTCGTTCAAAAGAGGTTTAGGGCTTGGGGTTTCGAGTTTAGGGTTTATCTATAGGGGTTCCTGTAAAGGGATCCATAAGGGTTCTATAAGGGATCTATAGGGTTTAGGGTTTAGGATTTAGGGTTTGGAGTTTAGGGCCAAGGGATGCTAAGGGCTTAGGGTTTAGGGTTTTGTGTTTAGGGTTTGGAGTTTAAGGCTAAGGGCTTAGGGTTTAGGGTTTAGGGTTTAGCGCTTAGGGTTTAAGGTTTAGATTGTAAGGCTTAGGTTTTAGAGCTTCGGGTTTAGTCTGATACATCCCATCGCCCTAGCTAAAAAGGCCCCTATACTGCAGCCCTAGAACCCCCTGTGCAGAGTTCCGTGGTCCAGGGGTCCTCCAGCAACTTGACACTGCAGCTGAAGGCTATATTAAGGGCTTTTCGAGGGAAAGAGAGACCCGATCCCAAAACCCTAAACCCTAAACCCTAAACTCTAAACCCTAAACCCCTAAACCCCTAAACCCGAAACGGCGACTCGCGATCAGCCGAAAACCCAAGGCCGCAGCCAAACGTCAACACCCTGGCCTAAAGCCTGCACTCAAAACTCTCAAACCCTAAAACTCAAACATTATCTGCCTGGAACCTTTTAGCGCCTTGTTCCCGAATGCATCTTCTACCCAGACACATCCAATTGTAGATAACGTCCCCTTCTGCTCCCAACCTAATTTACAGCATAATGTGCCCTCAAACCCTATTCGATGTTTCACTATACATGCCGTATAAAACCGTGTGGAAGCCCTTCAACAACCCTTTAAGACACTATCCCAATGATTAAAACACCCTACATTGTTTCCCTAAACAATCCATTTCCCGAAACATTCCCAAGTCCCTAAACCCTAACCCCTAAACCCTAAACCCTTAACCCTAAACCCCTAAACCCCTAAACCCCTAAACCCCTAAACCCCTAAACCCTAGACCCCAAACCCTGGGAAGAGCCTGGCCTACCCCTGCCGCTGTCTCGAAGTCACCGTGCTGCACACAGGCGGAGAGCAGCGAAGAGACCATCGCCTCCCAAAGGGATCTACAAGGGCTCCTATGGGGGATCTACAAGGGTTCTACAAAGGGATTTTGGATTTAGTGCTTTAGGGCGTTAAGGCTTCGGGGTTTCAAGGGTTCAAGGCTTCAGGCGCCTAGCGGTTTAGGCTGTTAGGGTTTCAGGGCTTTGGGCGTTTGGGGGTTTAGGGTGTAAGGCGCTAGGGCTTCACGGTCTAGAGCTGTTGGGGTTACGGCTTTAGGGATTCCGGGTTCAAGAAGGGCAAGCTGAAGATTTCTAGTCGTTCACGTAGAAGCAGCAGAATTACGAGGATGCTGTTCCCAGTCGGCTGAAACGTCGTAGGTTCAGGGCCTCGTTTACGAAAACAGCCATGCTAACATCACAACTTATGTTCAAAAACTCTCCAAACTCTAAACCCGAAACCCCCCCCCTAAACCCCTGAACCCAATCCTCAACCCTGCGGCTCTCCCTCCTGCTCCGGCAGCTTGCAGTTCTTCTTGTTCACCAGCTCCGGCAGGAGTTGTGCTGCGAGCACCTGGCCGACCCCTTCAAGCAAAGTCCGCAGGGTAGTTAGGATTAGGGTTTAGGGTTTAGGATTTAGGCTTTAGGGTTTCCGGGTTTAGGGTTCAGGGTTAGAGGGTTTAGGGTTTAGGTTTTAGGGTGTTCGGGTTTAGGGGTTTAGGCACCCTATTCCCAAACCCTCAACCTTACAACACAAGCACCAAACACAACCCCACGGCCATAAGCCCTGAACCTAATTCAAAAAAGAAACTCATCCTAAGCCCTGAACCTAGGACCTAGACCGAAATTTCAACCTAACCCCTTCCAATCCCCACTGCTGAGCCGGTGGCCAAAGCCGCACCACCGGCTTGGCAGCTGCAGCGCAGCAGCACCTTGGGCCCTTTAGGGCGTACCTTAACCCTGAATAACCTATCCTTTAGGGCTCCTTATTATGACTTCCCTATGTACGTCGCTAAAAAGGTAGGTTATTCCGGGTTTAGGGTCTAAAGTTTAGCTTAGCGTTTAGTTTAGGTAAGAGGTTTGATGCTTCGAGCTTGGACGGCCTGGACGGCTGTAAGATCTTAGGCTTCGAGGTTCTTGAGTGTAGGGCCGAGGGCGCCAAAAAAGGCACGGACGTGTCCAAGCAAATCCTCGAGAAATAGAACCTGCAATTGCAGGCAATAGAAGGCTGCGTTGAGACATTGAAGGGGCTTGACAGGTGTGGTATAAACCCTAAGCCCTAAACCCCTAAATCCTAATCAAAACTATTTGGGTCAAGGCTTCGTCTTTTCCGTACTTGCATTCAGGCATCACCCGATCTAGGAGCACCCGGAATCTGGGATGGAAGTTCCATCGGAGTTCTGAGTGACTTCGCAGTCCCCTTATGGCTTCGGAGCATCCTCCGCCCTCACTAGAAAGCCCAATACCCCTTAATTAAGGAATATAGCAAGCCCAATACCCCTTAATTAAGGAATATGGCTTAAATTATATAGGGCTTCATATTATGATTTAAGCTATATTCCTTAACTAAAGGATATTGGGCTCTCTGGGTCCCTAAACCCCAAACCCCAAACCCTCCAGAACTCCCCTTCACTCCACAAAGGATGGCGCGGATCTCCTGGGCTTCCCTTCCTTTCAGGGTTCGGCCTCTTTAGGTCTTAGGGTTCCTTTGTAAGCGATCCCTGAAAAAGGGGGGTCCTCAAACGGGTGCCCTGAAAAGGGATCCCTTTTCAAGGGTCCGGCGGTGTAGACGATGCGTCCCGGAACGCATCGGTACTTGGCGTTCATGTCTTCGACCTGCGTTTGGGGGCTCGGTGGCTGTGGTCTCGCAGGGAGGTCTGCAAGACCCTTGAGCAGGTGCTGCTTTCCTGAAGCCGCTCGTGTCTGTGGTCACTGAGGGCATCCTACTCTTCTGGCAGGCTGTCCTGGACGGTCCAGGTCTCTATCGCTTGGCCGTGGTCATCTAGCACGATCCAATCCATGCTAGATGTCCCTGAAACTGTACGAGGCACAAGCTTGGAGGCACCTTGGCTGCGCTTGCTCGAACTCGGGTCGATCAGATCTGCGAAAAGAGATCTCTGCGACGAACGGGCTTCTGTGGAACCAACTGGATCTACAAGATCTATCCCCAACTACTTCGGCTACCCTGCACGCATAGCAACATGCAACCTCGGTAGATCCTATAAAACAGGAGCCTTAATATACTTGGAAACTGTACTTCTACTAAGGAAGACCCGAAACAGTACCCAGAGACTCCAAAACCCCTTAACTAAGGAATATACCTTAAACTATAATAGGATCCCTAATATGTTTTAAGGAGTATTCCTTAATTAAGGGGTTTTGGAGTCTCTGGGTATTGGTAATTGTTCAGCTACTTTAACATCGAAGCCGGGTCGCCAACTCCTGTGGCCTGGATGAAGGCCTCGACCAGGCGGGAGACCTTCGCGTAGCCCAGGGGGGCAATGTCGGACACCGCGTCCTGTCGGACCATGCAGTCTTGCTGAAATTGTTTAGGGTTTGGGGCTGACTTCTACGGTTCTCACTAGTATTGCCATTGCTCTTTGTAAACCCGAACCCCTGAACCTATGAAGGCCCCTATAGTAGACCTCGGCCCGATGCTCCTGCGGGAGCAGGTGCTTGGCGGTGTCATTGACGAGAGATGCCGCGACCCAGGCCTGATACGAGACGGCTTCTGGCTTGGGGTTTTTTAAAAAGTGTAATGGTCCCTTTTTCTTCCAAGGTCCAGCTGAAGGGTTTGGGGGCTTAAGTCCTCTTTTTGAGGGTCTATAGGATGTGTTTTTTAAAGCCCCCTTTTTCCCGGGTTTCGGGTTTTTGGGGTTGTAAGGGTTTAGGGAAGAGGAGCTCATGAGGATTGAGGGTGCTGGGGGCCTCCTGGGTGTAAGGAGGACTGTCAGGATGGCGGGGGCCTTAATCATTAGAATAGGGTTTTGGGCCGTGCATTATAGTACAATTAAAACAAGAACAGGGTTTTGGGGTATATTATGGTATAATTATAATAAGGAACCCTAAGAGTCAAAATTTTGGTATTTCTTTAGGCCCCTATAGTAAGCGTAAGGGCAATGACAAGGATGACTACAAGGGGCATGATGAGGGCTATGATCAGGAGTATTATCAGGGGGACTTTCCACGGTAAGGGTGTTACAGTAGGATTTTGTTTTTTTGAACTCTTTTTCTCCAGTGCCCCGAACAGTCTTACAGTAGGATTTAGAGTTCAGGGCTTCTGGGGCTTAGGAGTTCAGGGTTTTCTAGGATTTCGGGTTCAGGGATGCTGCTGTTTAGGAGTTCGGGGTGCTAAGGGGTTGCGAGGCCTAGGGGTCTAGCAGCCTCAACCCCGAACCATAAAACTTAAGGCCCTAAACACCACAACCTAAGGTTTAGGGTGTAGGGTTTATCCCGGACCCTAAAACCAAAATCCTCGGCTCGAAACCCGTCATGGTATCTCTCATAGTAACCTTTTACAGTAATATAGGGGCCTTAATAAATAGACTAGCAAGGGATCTGTAGTAGGGTTCTATAACATACGGGCCTTAGTAATTAGAATTAGAACCCTAAACCCTCAACATTAGAATAGTGAGGGATCTATAATAGGTTTTATAACATAGGGGTCGTAATGATTAGAATTAGAACCTTAAACCCTAAACCCCAACCCCTAAACCCTCAACCCCTAACCCCTAAACCCTAACCCCTAAACCCAAGGACTTCCCCATGCAAAACTCGGTCGGAAGGCTCTCTTCCAGGCCGTCTCGCCCAGCAAAGCCAGGCCACAGGCCGCCTCTACTTAAAGGATCACGGGACTTAGTATCTGAAGGGTTCCTTTAGGGGATCTATGAGGGTTACTATTAACGGTTCTATGTGGTCTTGGGGGTATTTAGAGGGTCATGGTGCTTGCTATTTAGGATGCTAATTAAGGTGACTATACTTATAATTACTTATAACCCCTCTTAAGGTACTTATAAATTATAACCTAAGTCCCATGATCCTCCAAGTAAGGGGGGCTGCGTCTGGTAGGAGGGGAGGATAGTGGGATTACCTACTATCAGGGGCACGAAAAGACCTACTGGGGGCCCACCATAAAGGGGGTAACAAGAGCTCTACTATAAGTGGTCTAAGAGGTCTACTAGCAAGGTTGATATATGGGCTACTGTCAGGGGTGTGGTGAGATCTACTATAAGGGATATGAAAAGGGCTGCTTTAAGTGGTATTAGAAGTGGTTACTATAAGGGCATCATAAGCGTTCAGGGTTTAGAAGGTTTTTGGCTTACTCTACGTAAGAGGTAGTGCAACAGTCCCTACAAGTTTTTGAAGGCTTGGGATCTTAGGATTTCGGGAATACTAGAACGGGCATCGGAAGGGCGTCTACAAGGGCTTGGGATCCAGTCTATAGGGTCTACGGGTCACACCTATACTCTTTGGGGGGTTAATTGTGGTTAGTAATGGTACAGTATAGGATCCAGTCTATAGGGTCTACGAGTCACACCTATACTCTTTTGGGGGGTTCATTCTGGTAAGTTATGGTATAGTATACCCCAGAACCCTTTCTAAGTATGAAGGCCCTGATATTACCAGGGTGGTTGGCCTTGTTTTTCTTTGGATTTGGGGTCCAGGAGTTTGGGGTTAGGGGAGTCGGGGCTGCGAGTTTCGGGATTCGGAGCTGAGGGGTTTGAGTTCAGAGTTTGCGGTCTGAAGATCCCAGGCCTGGTTTGGTTGTGGAGTTGAGAGTTAGGGTTTAGGACGAGAGACGTATTTCGCGCGGGGCAGCTAAGCTCAGAGAATCGAGGCTTTACGAAACAAGGCAGGCTCAGGTGGCTTTTGAAACCTACTCAGTTTCGACAAACCTTCGTAATGTTAGCACTGGTAACCGCTCAGAAGACAATTGCCAATGTTGCGGTGACAAGAGCAACAGTTCAAGAAAACCATCACGCTGGTAGAAGTTTAATTGCAGCCTTAAGAACAAGCCTGAAAACGAAGAAGCATACAATAACAATAACAAGGGTATAAGCGACCAGAGCGGCGGTGACGATCGTGGTACTGGAAGTTAGACCATCTGTCGAGATGAAGGATGGCAAGACATGAACTCTGGACCGGAATCGACCTAACCAGCTCTTTAACTATATAGTATAACATATCATAACATAGCATGACACAGCATAATATAGTATCATAGGGTAGAATATAGTATCATATAGTATAATATAGCATAATGGTGTATAATGTAGTATAATATAGTAAAATATCGCAAAATACAGCATAATATAGCATAATATAGTATAATATAGCATGCTAAGGTATAACTGTGCATGATATAGCATAATACAGTAAAATCGGGTATCATATAGTACCATACACTGAATGCCAACTTCAAATGCTCCGGATCGCCTGGTGCAAGCGGGTGTCCTCGTCCACGAAGCGAGCCAATCCACCCTGAACTGGGCTTTTGTTACGGGACTTACTTTGAGTGACCATAGTTTAGGGTTCCTCTGAAGGTTCTACAAGGGTTTAGGGGTTCAGGGATAGAACTTAAAAGTTACCATAATGAAGAAACCATGTTATTGTGCATTCTAGATCTCTATTATGGTAAGAAATGAAATCCCTTAACCCCTGCACCCTTATAGAACCCTTAATGGAACCCTGAATTATGGTAACTTAAATTGAATATGGTAACTTAAACTAAATTATGGCAACATAAACTAAACTTCCTTAACCCCTATACGGCCCTAAACCCTTATAGAACCTGAATGCCCAGAATGGAAGCCCTAATATGCGATAACATAAATTAAATGGGAGTTTCCGAAAATAGGGGGCTCCAACAATGTACCCTAAATAGTGGGATCCTTACTATAAGGACCCCAAAATGAGGTACCCCTAATTTTCGGAAACTCCCAAATGTCCTTAACAAGAACTGTGTGCCCTAAACCCTAAACCCTAAACCGTGTGGGCTTCGGTCTTTTTCTGTCTTTTTGCCGGGGCTCAGCGGTGAAGTGCCAGGGCGCCGAGCTGGTAAATTCTAGGGTTTAGGGTTTAGCTCACAAGGACAGGGGTTGTAGGGTTCCTTTTAAGGGATCTACAAGGTTTAGTGGTTTAGGGGCATACGGTTTAGGGTTTAGGGCAAGGGTTTAGGGTTTAGGGCTTCTAGGGTTTAGGTTTGGGGTTTTGGGGTTTTGACCTTTTGGGGTTTAGGAGTCTAGGGCTACTGTTTGGGGCTTAGGGCTGGGATTTAGGGTTAAGGGTCAGAATTTAGAGTCGGGCTGCGAGCCCGAACCCTCAAAGCCCTGAAACCGATGCACTGAACTCCCCAAACCCTAAAAGCCGCAAACACTTAAGCCCTACGGAACCGAACCGCTAAACCCTAAAACCCCCAACCCTTGAGCCTAAGAAAGCACCTTGTAACGCCCGGAACCCTTGAACCGCTTAAATCCTTAACCAAGCAGTAAACCCTAAACCCCTAAATCCCAACCCGAACTCGCTAAACTCAAGGTAATATGGAGGCCTTAGTAATTAGAATAGGGTTTTGGGGTATGTTATACTATAGTTATGATTCTGATAAGGAACCATCAAAATAGTATAGGCAATTTTTGAGGCCCCTATACTAAACCCTTATAATAGCTCTTATAGTAATGCTTATAGACCCCTTTAACGGTATCCCTTTAAAGGAACCCACCAACACAGTGTAGGTACGTTTTCGGGGGCCCCTTTGGTAGTTGGCGCAAGGCTCCGTGGGCCTGGCCTCGTAGCGAGGCTCCGTGGGCTCGGGGTTTCGCTCTGGTGGGTTTGCTGCAGGTCCCTCCAGAGCGAACCTTGAGGGTGTAGGCTCAATAGGGTTTTGGGGATTGAGAGTTTAGGCTGTAAAGTTCAGGGCTTAGGGAGCTTTTATGTGGCTAGCTAGTGGTTGCATTTATCTAGGCATGTGTACAACATGGCGACACAAACATGTAGAACTGACTTGCACGGCGCAGTATAGAAATACATATGTACGCACACGTGCGTGCTCGATCAACATGTCAAGAGACAGATAAATAAATAGATAGATAGATGGTCAGATTGGTCGGTAGATAGACAGATCAGTTGCTTTCACAGTCTCATAGACTCCTGACTGCTCCACGCTGCTGCCCGGAAACTGAGGCACGCCCCTCATCAGAGAGTCTGCCACTGTGCCGACCTCGTACTTAGGGATGCAGGGGTTAGGAGATAGGGGCTTAGGGTTTAGGGTGTAGGATTTAGGCGGTTTAGGGCTCAGGGCTTGAGGCGAGGTTTGCAGTTTAGCATGCGGGATTTGCAGTTTCGGGTCTGGGTGGTTTGAGGTTAGCGGTTAAGGATATCTTGGGTTTGAGGTTTTTTGCGACAGCATTTAGGTTGCAGCGGCTTGGAGTTTTCAGTTCGGGAGCTGGGATCGCCGGCTTCGGAGCTTGCGGTTCTCAGTGGCTTTGGCGGAGGCTTGGTCTACTCAAAACGAGGGGCTTCGGAATTCATAGTTTGGAACGAGCCGGATTTCAGTTAGGGGTTTAGGGTTCAGGGTTTAGGGCTCATGAACCTGTTATGCTACTGCAGCCTGCAGCTCGGAACCAGAAGCTGCAAGCAAAACAACGAAACCGTCCTGGAGCACCACTGGCTTTGCCGGTACTGACCCCTTCTAGACGTCACCTCACATGGCTGACTCTCACTCAACACACTCTTTGGTCACATACCCTGCTGGAAAGCACCTCATGGCAAGAGAGCCCCAGCATTGGCATAAGGCCCCCCGGGACCGAAACGAGACCCCAAGGCCTGAGACCGGTAGACCTAAATCCCAAAGCCCCCAACCCCTAAACTCTACTCTGGATTCTAGATCCTACTTGGAGGGTCATGGGACTTAGTAAGTAAGCTTATGAGTACCTTAATTGGGGTTATAAGTAGCTAGAAGTATAGTTAGCCTAATTATAACCCTACTTATTAAGTCCAATGATCCTTTAAGTACGAAGCCGTAAAGTAGCTCTTATGAAACAACCTTGGTGCCTCCAGTGCTTGTAGCTGCTCCGGGGAGAACAGCGCCCGAGCTGCCAGGTGCAGACGTGCGAACCTGGCTTGAAACCGTAAACCCGAAGAACGAAACATGGCCAGGGTGTAGGGAACGAAACTAGGGTGTTGGGTTGAGGGGTTGAGGGTGTGAGGTTGAGGTTTAGGGTGGTGCTAGGCCGGTTCAAAGGCATTACGAAAAGGGTGTTGACAAGGCTGCAGGTTTGTGCCAACCCCGTGCCGCTCCGTTGACAAGGACCAAGACGGGACGGAAGCAAAAAGGCAATATACAGTGCGAGCACAGAGGAAGAGCGAGACAGAGACAGAGACAGAAACAGGCTATAATCAGCGCCGTTCGAGGATTGCATCTCGACCTCTCAGCCATCACCCCAGACTGCAAAGCCCAAAACAGTAATACATCGAGACTGGCTTCTTTGGGGTTCAGCTTGCGAGGAACCGAATCTAGAGTGCTGCTGTGTTTGCGGATTCGCACATCGCTCGAGCAAGTGAATCGGCATGAATGCCAACATACATACGCACTATGCAGACAGAAACAGAAACGCGCAAATTGGCACGTGCCCCTAAATCATCAGCACAAAAATGAAAAAAAAGCCTAACAGACTTCAGGACTTGCCAAGCAGCTGTCTCCAGCGCAGGTCCGTCGCCCTCCAGCGATGGAAATCCTCATGAAGGTTACTGCTTCAAAAAAACTGCATACTGAGTATTGCTCACTTTAACTCGTATGTTTCTCACTTTAACTCGTATGCTTCATAGCATCACTATTGTTAAGTCGTCGTCGTTAGCAGCCCTAAACCCTAAACCCTAAACCCTTCCAGCAATGGATCATCTCAAGCCTCGAGCCATCCTAAACTCACCGCCCTGTGAATTACACTGCCCCTGCCCCGTCACCCCGGTCGCCCCCTGGCCCCTATACCCCCTTCCACCCTTGTCCCTGTCCCTGCCCTGCCCTACCCCTGCCCTCCAACCCCACCTGTAGCCAAAAAGACCTACGTTTTCACGATAGTATATGTAGAAACCATCATAATAATACTACTAATAATGATAATAATAATAATACTAATAATTGTAATAGGGAACCCTAAAATACTGAAAAGGAGTTCTTTTCGGCTAAAGGTAAACCCAGAGTCCCGAGCCCCGTCCTTCAGCGTCGCCTGGGGCGTGACCGCTCGCAGTGCCTCTTTGGCAGACTGGCAGGAGGCCGCCGTCTGCTCCAGCTTCCTTGGGACTAAGCTTTAGGGGATTAGGGTTTAGGGGTTTCGAGGTTTATAGGTTTTAGGGGTTTCGGGGTTTATGGCCGCCGTCTGCTCCAGCTTCCTGCTTATAGGATCATGGGACTTAATAACTAGGGTCCTGATTAGGTATAAGGTTCCTTTAAGGGCTCCAGCTTCCTTGGGTTTAGGCTTTAGGGGATTAGGGGTTTCGGGCTTTAGGGGATAGGGGTTTAGGGCTTACGGATTTAAGGATTTCGGGGCTTAGGGTTTCAGGGTTTAGGGGGGGAGGCTCTGGGGGTGCTCAAGGGGCTCTCGCGGGGTTTAGAAGGGATACTATAAGGTTCCTTTAAGGGCTCCTGTACGGGATCTATGAGGGCTTCCTCTAAGGGCTTCTTTGAGGGATCTATGAGGGGTTCCTTTAAGGGGGCTCTTCGGGGGTTCAGGATTCAGGAAGTTTAGGATTCAGGGTTAAGGGTTCAGGTCCAAGGGTCTTGGCAGGATTTACAGTAGGGTTCAGGAAGTTTCGGGTTTAGAGGATTTCGGATTTGGACTTTCAGGCTAAGGGCCCAGAAATCCATCAAAAGGCCTGAGACCCCGAGTTCCTAAGCATCCTGAAGCCCCAATCCTGCAACAAGGAAGCACCTAAAGCGAGACTGGAGCCTAACACCTTGCCTGGAGCTCTCCACTGTCCACCCTAAAGCCAGCCGAGTGGCTGTAGTAGTCCTCGTCCCTTTGTCAGAACCGCAACCCGGCCCGGCGGAGCTGTATGCCGGGGGAGGCGCTCGTAGGCATCCATGATCCTTGGCATCTTCTCTCGCTCTGGGTAGTGACTGCCGACGCCGACGACGACGACCCCAACCACAACCACTGCCAATGCCACTCCCACTCCCACTGCCACTGCCACTACCACCACCACTACCACCACCACTACCACTACGACTACGACTACTACTCCTGCTTCTACTACTCCTACTACCACTGCTGCAACTGCTACTGCTACTGCCACTGCTATGTTGCTTCGCTGCTTCTGCTGCTGGTATGCTTCACTCCTACATACTTCCCAGAGACTCCGAAACCCCTTAATTAAGGAATATACCTTAAATTATAAAAGGATCCCTAGTATGATTTAAGGAATATTCCGTAATTAAGGGGTATTGGAGTCCTTGGGTTGTTGCATGTCCCACGAAGAAAGGCAGCACCAGGATGTTCCTGCGGGCAAAGAGCTGCTGTGTCTTCTGCACAATGTGCGCTCTGAGCTGAGGGAAGAGCTGTTCCTGGGTTGCATGGTGGCTTTCAGGGCCGAGGGCTTGTGAGATGCAGGGTCTCTCGCAAGGCCGTTAGGAGGGATTCTTTCAGGGAAGCTACTATATAATATATGTTGTGTTTTATATTACATATTATATACGAAACGGACTAAACGTCGAAGCTTCGGCTCTAGGAACACTTCTTGCTTTGACACAAGCGGCATACTTAGCTTCACCCTTGTTGCGATGTGAAACAATGGCACGTTGCCATGCCGAATAGCTAAACCTATCGTCATCACCAGAATCTCACGGTCATGGTCGTCATCATCTTAGGGTTCAGGAACAGTCCTGGCGAACATGACCATCATCACCGTCTAACATGATACCGCCTGGGACTCAATCAGCAGCATTGCCGGACTGGATGGTACCACTGGTGCCTGTCCCGTCCCCGGTTACAAGCACGAATGAACAACGTCTGTGTAGTTACCATTGCTACGGTCACTACGGTCAAAACCGACATCAATGACGTACAGCCAGAACTGCTGCAGCAGCAGGTGCTCTGCCCCGCTGATACCCAGTAGTGCTAGTAGCCATAATTAGAATATAGCTAGGTTGTTGTGATCCTCGTTGCAACTGAAAACCTGATTGAGCACACCGGATGATGAGCTTGATTGATTGCATATCTACTAAAGCTTGTTGTATGCAGGGGCTGCGGCACCGAGGCAAGCGCACCTGCTGAACCTGGTATCGGCAGTTTTTACAGGGAAGGGAATTGAAATCCACTGGTGCTCGGCCGGGGTGCGAGGTCGAGCAGAGAGGCCTGATGCACCGGCAAGAAGCACATGAACTTGGCATAGTCCTGGATGGCCTCTGCTTTTGCTTCCGGTGGGCTGAGGTGACAGCAGGAGCATGTCTGCAATACACACACTCACACGGAGCGACACACCTGCAGGGTCAAGAGCGCGCATGGGAACGAGGAGAAGCCGTTGACCCTCTACCGTATTCGGAGGGGGGGCCCTGTATGACTGATCCTAGTTGCGTTTAGGGTCGATTTTCGGGGTCCCAGTTTTTTCCGAAACTCACAAATCAAACAGCTTCCGTGCTTCCTACCTCAGCCTTTGCCCTACACCTAAATCCCCAAACCCCATACCGTACACCTCAACCTTACACCCTAAACTTTGAACCCTAAAATAAAACCCGAAACCCTCGACCCTGCACCCTACACCATAAACCCTTCCGCGAGGAAGTCCTCAACCCCCGAAGCCCTCAACCCCAATTACCAAACCCCTGAAGCCCTGAACCCCTGACCCCCGGGAGGATCCAAAAAGTAGATCCCTTAATGGGGGTTCCTATAAAGTACCTTCAGTTGTATAGGGCCCCAAATTAGGGGATCTACTTTCTAGATCCTCCCGCAATTCTGGGACCCTACACCCTAAACCCTATACCCTAAACCCATACCCTAAACCCTAATCCCCAAACCCTATACCCTAAACCCTTCCGCGAGCCTCCAAGCAGATGGCAGCCCGATGGAGCAGAGCTGCGAGGAGGCAGTAGAGGCCATGCCTAGTTCATGCTTGGGATAGGGCTTTTAGGGTATTACTTGGGTTTAAGTACCCATAAAAATGTAAAATGCTACCCAACTATGACAAAGATGCAGTTCAACGAAGGCCAGCCATGTCTCCTGGGCTTCAGGGTTTTAAGGCTTAGAGGCTTAGGGAGTTTTAGGGTTTTGGGGGTTTAGGGCTTTAAGGCTTTAGGGTTTTAAAGCTTTAGGGTTTTGGGTGTAGGGCGTTAGGACTTTAGAGCTTTAGGGTTTTAACGTTTAGGGCTTTGGGGCTTTAGTGCTTTTGGGTTTAGGGTTTAGGGGTTTATTAACATTTTGGATCTGGCTTTAGGGTTTATCTCAGGGCCCTTGGAGTTTAGGGTTTAAGCTGTAGGGGTTGGTAGGTGTTACAAAGGTTGTTAAAACTTTACCATCGGGTTTTGCAGGGGTTGTCCAGACCTTTTCAATATGGCCTCCGCATTTCGGGCCTAGGGCAAGGGTTGATGTGAACTGCCATCGGGGTGCTATCTCTAACCGACTGAAGTCCTGTCCCTCAACTAACCCGAAAGCACCAATCCGTGACTCTCTACATCTTTGAGCCCAAATTCAACCCAAACCCTAGACCCTAAACCCCAAGCCTAAACCGAAGAGAAACGTCCATAAAAAGTCCGGCCGAGACTCATCGCCCAGGCTGTGCACCGTGCTGGGCAGTAGACCTGCCCAGCAAAGCCCAGGAACTATCTCAAGGTTCAGGGCCTAGGGTTTACAGGTGAGGTTTAGGGCTTAGGTTTGAGGGCTTAGGGCTTAGGGGGTACTGCGGGTAATATACCTTCATGTACAAAGATACTTGAATGCAGAAAAGGAGCATCGGGATATCGGGCGTGGGGCTGCCGATCCGTGACGGTCGTTGCGTTTGGTTCGAGGGGTTTTTGTTGAGGGTCCAGAATTCAGACTGGAGTTTCGCACCTGTGCCAAAGCCAAAAACGAACGGAACTTGAAATCTAACCTCACCTTGGACCCTGAACCTTAAACCCTGAACCCTGAACCCTAAACCCTAAACCCTGAACCCAACCCTAAACCCTGAACCCTAAACCCAAAAACCTCTGCAGGATTCATTTTAGGCCCCGAAAGGAGTACGGCACACTGATGACAAGCACCCTAACAGCGAGCCGAGTTTTGAGAAGTACCGGTGTAAACCCCAGAATGTTTTGTTTTCTCATAGAGACCCTTCGGGGGGTAGGGGGAGGCGCTATATTTCCTTAAATGGGCCTCACTAAACCCTGGCCCCCCTTTCCCCGTCTCACCGACCCCCCCTTTAAGGGCCCTTATGATGTACCGGAACCGTTAGGAAGTGGCATGACGCATTGTTCAGGCTTCTGCATTACCGATGTAATACAGGTGCCTCAATAATACTATTTCGGAAGTTCCTCATTCTGCTTATAGTTGAATATACACCAAAACCCTATTCTAACTATTCAGGCCCCCATCGTATAGAACCCTACTGCAGATCCCTTATGCAACCCTTATAGACCCCTTTAACGGAGCCCTATGCTAATTGTGGAGGCCCCTATGGCCCCCATATTAAACCAGGATGCCCAAGAATAAAAAGGGCTCCCTTTTTGGTATTGGGTAACTTTATAGGGAACCTAGGACTACAAAAAAAGGGAATAAGGGTACTACTGGGCATCCTAGGCCCTAATTTTCGGAAACCCTAAACCCTTTATAGAACCCTTATAGATCCCTTTAAGGAACCCTTATAGATCCCTTTAAAAAGGAATAAAGGAGTCGAAGCTCCCGGCCTGTGTTGCCTCCCGGGCTCCTCGCAGGATCGAGGAGATGCTCGTGCCTGGGCCGAGATCACAACTCTGCCAGCCAAGCTTTAGGGCTTTAGGGGTTTAGGGGTTTAGGGGTCTGGGGTTTAAGGGGTTTAAGGGGTTTAAGGGGTTTAAGGGGTTTAAGGGGTTTAAGGGGTTTAAGGGGTTTAAGGGGTTTAAAGGGTTTAAGGGGTTTAAGGGGTTTAAGGGGTTTAAGGGGTTTAGGGTTTAAGGGGTTTAGGGGTTTAGGGGTTTAGAGCTGAGGCTTTCGGGTTTAGGATTTGGATTTTTCAAGATCCCAAAACCTCGGGTTTAGGGTACCGACAGACCTGACTTATTGCAGGCGGTTCCACATCACAACAAGGACTGTTTGCAAAGCGACGAATGGCCTTCCACAAACCCTTATAAAAACCTGTATGGAAGCCCTTTTAGAAGCCCTTGTAGCAACCCTTCTGCACACCCGGTTTGCTCGCAACCGTTGAAGAAACCCGTACAGCCTTACAGAGCCCCCTTGTGGAAACCCTACAAGGGGAGCTCTTGTGTAGAAACACCAAAAAGGAAGACCTGTAGAAAAGCTTATCGACCAGCCGAATAGCTAGACGCCTCCTACAACCCCAAACCCTAAGCCCTGAACCTAAACCCCCAAACCCTGAACCCTAAACCCTAAACCCTGAACCCTCACAGAACCCTAACTAGACCCTCAACAACCCTGACCCTAAACCCATCATGCAACCCTTAACCGTAAACCCTATTAGAACCCTAAAGCATAAACGGGGCCCTGGCAGAATCCGCAGCAGCTGCTGCACGCGCGCGCGGGCTGCCAGGGACTCCCGGGTGTGGCCGGCGTGGTCCAGCTGATCCGAGAGGTCCTCCTGTAATACTGGGGGGTCTTTAATTAATAATCATAATAACAACAATAATAAGCATCATCATAACAATAATAACAATAATAATAACAATAATAGTAACAACAATAATTATTATTATTGTTTTGCTCGATGTTGCTGGCGACATTGTTCTCGAAAGCCCCCTGGGGCTGAGAGTGACTTGGGGTCTTAAAACTTAGACAAGGGTTTTGGATAGAGGGTTTGGTTAAAGGCTTCTGTTTGAAGGCATCTATAAGGATCACTGTAAGGGCTACTATAAGGGTTTGTAGAATATCCGAGAGGTCCTCCTCTAGGGCTATGGCTTTTTATGCGTTCCAAAGGGGATCTAAAGTACAGTTCCACAAGTAGGGCTATGGCCTCTGTTTTGGGTTGAGAATTTGGGATTTGGGGTTTGGGGTCTAGGGCTATGGCTTCTTTGTTGGGTTAAGGGTTTGAGTTTGGGGTTTGGGGTTTGGGGCTTAAGGTTTATGCATGCATCCCTTGCGGACTGTCCCGAAGCAACCACTTGAGGACCAACAAATGAACCAAGAGCCACCGGGTTTTAACAGACGACAGGGACGTCCCTAGCCGAGTCGGGGGATCGAAAAGCACGGTAAGAGCTACATTATCCAGAAGCTCCACATATACTACCATTATGGAATACTGTCCATAAGACCGTAGTAAGGATAGTCTTTTGGGACCTAATTCCATAATGGCAGTATATATGGAGCCCCAGGGTTACGTAAGACTTTCAGACCGCACCCTCAACCCCAAACCCCCAAGTCCTGACCTCAAAGCCCCCCAAGAAAAAACGCCCCGGCCCCCTCCAACAAAATAAACCCTATAGAACCCCAGCAGTACTCCGAACAGGTCATGTAGAAATCTGATTAAGAAAGCCTGGGCATTATAACCCCCAAAAATAGCAGGATTTACATAAGGCTTAATCAGGTCCCCACATTACCCCGAACCGTAACCCCTAAAAGTGACCCTTAAGAAGCCCTGAACCCGGAACCCGACCCGGAACCTCGGAACCGCAGAGCGCTCCCTCACCCGGCACCCGAAGGTTTCGGGCTTAGGGCTTAGTGGGGTTTAGGGCTGCATTTTTTTTTGAAGCTTTGGGGTTTTGGGAGTTTAGGGGTTTAAGGGCTTAGGGTTTAGGGTTCAGGGTTTGGCGGGTCGAGGGCCTTGGGAGCTGTGGGGGTTTAGGGCTTTAGGGGTTCAAGGGCTTACTTGGAGGATCATGGGACTTGGCAAGTATGGTTATAAGTACCTTAAGAGGGGTTATAAGTAGCCTTAAGTATAGTTGCCTCAATCATACGTCCCATGATCCTCTAAATGCCCCCAAGACCCACATAGAATCTTTAATAGTACCCCTTATAGATCCCTTAAAGGAATCCTTTAGCTACTAAGTTTGGGGGTTTAAGGGCTTAGGGGGTTGGCGTTTTTTGGACTTCGACTCTTCCTGCGGATGCTCCGTGGCACCCTGCAGCTGTTGCAAGAAGCAGTCGGCAAGAAGATCGGCCTCGGACTAATTATCGGGGCCCAAGTAATGATACCAGGGTTTAGGGTTCAGGGCTTCTAAGTTAGGGGTTGAGGGCTTCTAGGGGTTTTTTGGGTTTAGGATTGAGAGTGTTTGGGGTATAGGGAGTCTCGGGTTTCGGGTTTAGGATTTAGGGGGTTTGGGGTTTAGGGCTTCTAGGGTTTACGGTTCAGGATGTAGGGGGTTTAGGGTTTAGGGCTTCCAGGGTTTAGGGTTTCGGATTTAGGGGGGTTCAGGGTTTAGGGCTTCTAGGGTTTAGGGTTTTGGGGGGGGGGGGGGGGGTTTTGGACGTAGGGCTTCTAGGGTTTAGGGTTTCGGATTTAGGGGGTTTAGGGTTTAAGGTATTTTTGTCAAACACCCTTTTCCGTCTGCGGTGGGGGGTTTGGGGCTCTGGGTATACGACAATACAAGTATTACGAAAGAGCCCTAAAGAACAGTATTGGCTGTTGCTGAGGCTAGGAAACATCAACCTCAGGCCAGAGGGGTATTTAGGGCTTGAGGGCTTAAGGCTGAGAGGTATTAGGGCCTTAGGGCTTTGGGTTTCGGAATTTTGGACTTTAGAGGGTTTGGGATGCAGGATTCGAGGTTGAGGGCGCCGCTTCGGCTTTTAAGCCGGAAGGCTGAGGGATCGATTGCACAAGACTTCGGCAACCAAAAACATGATCGCGCTTAGGGTTTGGGGTTTAGGGGAGTTCCAAAGTAGCAAGCAAGTCATGCACCGACTGTCTGGCTCTGAACGCGTGGGCTGAGAGGCTAAGGCCAGGGCCACGTGACACTTCTCTATGTGCAAGATGTGGTAGATAATTTCGTCCTGGAGTCTCCCTAAACCCTGAACCCTAAACCCTAAACCCTTAAGCCTAAACCCTAAACCCTTAACCCTAAACCCTAAACCCGAAACCCTAAACCGATGCTTGGAATGCTCGCAAGGCGACGACTGGGACAAGAGATCCGATGCGTGGGCCATGTGCAGTCCTCCACCATCGTGAAAGATGAAGCTGAGCTGCCCGCCTATGCCGGGGAAAATGCAAGTCTTCAACAGATGACAATCAGCTGTCGCACAAACTACCAGACTTTTTAGACACTATGACGACATTGCGCAGCCACTGCCACGCAGACACTTTGTCACTATGTGTTCACGATTCCTGTTTGTGTGCAAAGCCGAGATCCTGTCGAACGACCCTGCGGCTCTCGGGAAGCAAACGCATGGAGACGAGGCAGTTTAGAGGCACGACTGTTGCATCTCTTGCTTGCAAGCAGCAAGCACTGCTCAAGTTAGTCAAGAAAGAGGGTCTAGGAGTCTCGGATTGAAGGAAATGGTTCAAATTACAGGATCGCAGGAACCCTTCTGTCAGGGAAACACCGCAGCTGCATTCCCGCAGCCGTGGTCGGAAGTAGAGCCCGGACACAGAAACCGATTTCGGCGGGTCAAGAGTTTCGGACTGAAGCCTGTTTGGTCGTTCGGGCTACAAGGCTACCCTTACATTCTCTGGGAGTTTCCGAAAATAGGTGACCCTAATATGATACCCTAGATTGTAGGATCTACCCTGAATAGTAGGATCCTTACTAGAAGGAACCCCAAATAAGGTACCCCTAATTTTCGGAAACTCCCATATACTACAACATTGTATAATATGATATTGCATTACATTAGGTCATGGTTATATTAAGGTCTTTAACCCTTCCGTGCTTGAGATCCTTGGCGCTTCAGCTCAGCCTCCACTTGCTGGGAAAGCTCGAGGAAGGCAAAGCGCTCTGTCGGCGATTGCCGAAGTGCTATGTACAGCCTGCAGCGGGAGGTTTAGGGTTTCGGGTTTAGGATTTGGGGTTTCGGGTTTGGGGGTTGTTGCGTCGTGTTTGTGTCTTGGGGTCATGTCGACAGCGCATATGTCGCACAAGTGGACTTCTGCTTCCTCGAAGTTCGCTGAGCTACCTCCACCCAAGTGGTTGTCAAAATCACGGTCCCTTTTTGGGTCCGTAGTATAATACGGCGCCTAATATTTGGGGTACCCCAAAAGGGACCGTAATTTTGACAACGACCCGGGGACCCGACACAGCGACCAAAGCTCCAAACCCTGAACCTCGGATCCTCCCCGGATGTTCCAAGGCAGGCAGCAACGGTTGATGATATAAACCCTGCAGTGCCTTAAGGACCCTAAACTATGGGATTTATGGTATATTCCTGATTTGGGTAATGCAGGATTTATATCATCAACCGAAGCACCTCTAAACGAGCCATGGAACCCAGAATATTGAGCATAAGCATAGGACTCCTTCAAGTGCAATTACTTAGCATGGGCCCCGGTTGAAGTCCTCTGACTCGGCTCCAAAACCCTCATCGAAGCCCACCTATCTTTTGATCCAAGACTTCGTCAGAACCCTTGCCCGATGCCTGCTCACCAGCCTACAAGCCTCAGGATGACACTGACAATGCTTCAACCCAAGCGACGAACCCGAAGCCCAAAACTCGCAAAGCCAAAAGTGCACGATCTTAAAACACCTCAACCAGAAGGGATTCGGGGGTAGGGTTTTAAAGTGTCAAGCCCAGCAGCAGCTCCATGAGACTGTCCGCAGCGTGGCGACCCAGGTTGTGAGCCTCGCAAGACATGCCAGAGCGGACGACTGAGTACTTGGGGGTTGAAGGGGTATAGAATACCTTGAGCCCTAAACCCAAAGCACGAAGCACTAAACCCTGAACCCTAAACCTGAATGCTTCAGCTTGGGGCGTTGTTGCTTTCTGAACCCTAGCCTTCTGACCCTTCACCCGGAACACACACACCCCAAGCCCAACCCACAAGCTGGCACCCAACCCATTTACCCTTCGGGGGGCCCTCTGGGCTAAGGGTTGCAAGATTGGCTTACGGGTAGTTCGTGATAGTTCTCTCAATCAGAGTCCCTCTTTAGGTCTTCAAAATAGTACGGCACCCTTAATAAAAAGGATCACACAAGGGACCCTAGCATAGGAACTACTCTTATTGCTTCCGGCCAGCTTTCGGGAAGACTCTGCTCATCAAGCTCTGAGTTGAAGATAAGGCAGCTACTCCAACCTCCTGCACTCATGGGTTTAGGGTTTTTTTGATGGGTTTGGTGTTTAAGGTCTTGGGTCTAGGGTCTAGGGTTTTGTGTTTAGGGTTTTCGGACATTAGATGAGTGGAGCTTGTCTGATTTAAGTTGGCCATTGTTGGGGAAGTCGGACATCGTGCGCGCGAAGGCTGCAGTCCAGACGTGCTAGAAGGTGTGGGTAATGCAGGGCATTATATTAAACTGTAGTTATAATAAGGACCCCCAAAATAGTATAGGAAAATTATTAAGGCCACTATATTAAAAGCTGTTTGGCAGAATTACAAGTCTAGGACAAACATTGCTCTACTTATAAGCCCAGCCGTTGCTGCCCACCTACCCATGAACCTTCGCTTGGGCCCTTTTTCAGGACTGAGCTCAGCCCAGAGACTCCAAAACCCCTTAATTAAGGAACATACCTTAAATTATAATAGGATCCCTAATATGATTTAAGGAGTATTCCTTAATTAAGGGGTATTGGACTGAGCTCAGGAAGCTTTTTCAGCCTAAATTCTGAAACCATCCCTGGTCCTAACCGCACAACCTGAAGCGCTAAACCTATGTCCTGAACATAAAGTCAAACCGTGAACCCTGCAATTTGAACCCTGAACCAAAACCTCAACCCTGAAGCCTAAACCCCCAAACCCTGAAGCCTGAAGCTCTAAACCTTTAGCTCTTAACCCTCATCTCTAAAACCCCCAAACCTTCATAGCAACCCTTCTTGAAAACTCAACCCTGAAGCCTCACCCCCACTCGCACCCTAAACCCTCAAGCCCAAACCCCCCCCTCATGGTGCCTCGCGCAGCGTCTCTCGGAGCTGTCGGAAGAGAGGCATGTGGCTCGTTTCCTGTGGGAGCGGCGTGGGGGGTTTCGGTTTAGGGCTTTAGACCCTGCCCTAAACCCTAACCCCTGAACCCTAAACCCTGAACACTGGTGTCTAGAGTTTGTTTGAGGGTTTTGGGGTTTAAGAGATACCACTCGCGTCCTGCGTTGTTTGCCTACCGCGTGTCCGATCGTGTGAGCAACAGAGCAGGTCTGGGCTTAAAACTTTAGTAGCGATGAGTCATTACCACCATGGGCACTTCGGGGGCGCCTTCATCCCCTACATTCTGAATGCGAAACTCATGCTATGGAAAAATACCCTAAAACCCTAAACCCTCAACCCCTAAACCCTAAACTCCGAAATCCTAAGCCCCTAAACCCTAAACTCCTAAATCCTAAACCCTAAACTCCTAAATCCTAAACTCCTAAACCCTAGAACCCTAAACTCCTAGAACCCTAGAACCCAAAACTCCTAGAACCCTAGAACCCTAAACTCCTAAACTCCTAAACCCCTAAACCAACCTCTAAAACCCTTAACATCCAGCACCTCCTTGCTCAAATCCAGCAGCACGAGGCGGCAGCGGCCGAGGGTCTGATCATGGCTTTCGGGTTTTAGGGGAGATTCGAGGTTTAGGGCTTTAGGGTTTTATGGGAGTTTAGGGGTTTAGGGTTAGGGGTTTAGGGTTGAGGGTTTAGGGTTTAGGGTTTAGGGTTCAGGGTTAGGGTTTAGGGTTTAGGGGTTTAGGGGCTTTGGGGCGATTTGGAGACAGAATGGTCATATATTGTTATACTGTACTGCATCATATTATTCCTCATCGAACTGTCGAACTTATTGTACATAATAACTTTATGCGTACATATATGTATACACATATATACATACAATGCTTTTTCAAATCTTAACTTGTTCATAGAACACAGTGGACAGGTTGGGATAGGTTCGGGATCTTCAGCACTCACCACTCTGGAATCTTGGGCGTGGGGCCTCACTGGAAGGCTGGGGAGAGACGGCTTAGTGTTTCCGGGGTTTAGGGTTTTAGGGTTTTCAGGTTTAGGGCGTTTAGGGTTTAGGGTTTATAGGGTTTAGGGAATCTCTGCTCCCCATTGCTGTCGACCAACTATTTCGGCTCCATCCGCCCGTCATCACTATGGCGTTTGCGAGAGGCCCTGCTGACTGCGATGCCCCCACTGTTATGTTTCTTCTGAAAATTATCCAAGTCTTCGATTTCTTCACGCATTTCATCACGATGCTCCCTCTCTCTCTCTCTCTCAGCGCTCTCTGTCTCTCTCTCTCTCTCTCTCTCTCTCTATCTCCGTCTCTCTGTGCCTCTCGCTCTCTCTCTCGTTTCCAAGCCTCTTCAAATGTCGACGAATGAGCCCAGTTGCTTTTCGTAAATGGCCGCGCATCCTGGCAAAGGGACATTGACGTAAAAACTGTATCGCATTTCACAACAGACCGGTTACCAGGCGGAGGTCACCAACATGCCACGGGTTCCCCACCCACACTTTTTCTCCCCTCAGCGTGCTGAGCCCCAGACGGTCGCGACACCTGCACACCTAGTTAAGCCATTTTGGGCGTGTTCAAAGACTTAGGCCCGAAACCCGAAACCCTTAAACCCTTATTCAAGCCTTGAGGCACATAGCCTGAACCCCTTGAGGCTTGAACCCCCTACACCAGCCACAGGAAAGCTCTGAGCCCCATCGCCTCCACCCGCAGAAGGAACTCTGTCCACCAGCGCAGCGCCTACTCAGGTTCATGGTCAGTTATAAGTCGGGTTACAGGCAGGGTAACCATAATTCTGACCCATACTCGGGGGCTTATAACTCCACTTATAACTACCCATGAAACTCCAGGAGGGTCTCGGGATTAGGGCTTAAGGTATAGAGTTTAGGGCTTACGGATTTTAGGATGTTAAGGTTCGCTCGTTCCTGCGGGACATTACAAGCTTGAAAACAAACCCTAAACCCCAAACCCCAAAGTACTAGTAGAAGGGCTATACTTGGAGCCTGAACCTTAAGCCATAAGCGACCAGCAATAGACGTTAAATCCAAGCTTTAAACCGACAAAAAGGCATGCTAGCTTAGGGGCTGTCGGCCCCAAAGAGTTTCTGGTTCTGGAACCCCAAGCCCAAACCCCAAAGCCACGAATCCTGAAATCCTGAACCTCCTCAAAGCATCTACCGGTCACCTCCTTCGCCGTCTCCCTCAAAAGGAGGTCGGCTGCGAAGCGCACCAGATGACCAGCCAAGACCTGTGATTCGAACGGCTACGAGGCTTCAGGGGAGCTTTGGATTGGAAGATTCAGGTTTTGGCGTTTAGGGTTTAAAGGGGCTGATGGTTTAGGTTTAGAAGTTTAAGGATTTAGGGTTTAGGCTTTAGGGTTGAAGCTCAGGCTTTAGCGTTTAGGGTTCATAAGGTTCTGCACCGTATCTTTTACAAGGTTCTACAACGGCCCCTTAGGTGTCGGACTACTGGCTTTTGGGTTTGGGGCTTCGAAGTAGAATGGTTTTTCAAGGGGGTTTTGGCGTCTGGGGGTTAGGAGCTAAGGATTAAGAATTTGAGGATTGAGGGTTTCGGGGATAGCTTCAGTAAAGAGTACAGCTTTCGGGTCCTGGGCCCCAGGCTTGCAGATTTAACGCTCTCGTGCCTAGTCTACGGCTGATGATATGCAGCCTGCAATACCTTAATGACCCTAAACCAAAAGAATTATGGTCTATTCCTGGGTAGTGCAGGATTTATATCATCAATCGTGGTTCTTGCCAGTGTCATGGCATTTTGGGGGGCAGGGGTAAGTGCAACCCTACTTGAAGGCTCAAGGGACTTAGTAAGCAAGGTTATAAGTAGGTTATAATTAGGGTAACCCCACTTAGGGGACTTATAACCCCAATTATAACCTACTTACTAAGTCCCAAGATCCTTTAAGTACAACTGGGTCCAAGGAACGGTGCGGGCATTGGGCGAGCCGCAGACATCCTCACAGCCAGTGCTCGGGCTGAGGGCTTTGGGATCAGTTTGAGGGTTGAGGGTTTAGGGGTTAGGGGTTTAGGGTTTAGGGTTTAGGGTTTAGGGGTTTAGGGGTTTAGGGGTTTAGGGTTTAGGGGTTTAGGGTTTAGGGTTTAGGGTTAGCCAGGGCTTAAGGTTCAGAGTTTAGAGTTCTTGGGCATGTCTTGCAGATTAAGAGTTTGTTTCAAGGTTCTGCTCGGTGCTCGGGCAACTGGAGTGGCCATGGAGCGTGGGGCCGTCGCAGGACTAAGGTTAAATGCTTAGACACTCTCGGTATTTGCACTTTGAAGAAGTCCTGGAACGGTTCGCATTGCTCTCTTCGGTTCTCCTGTACCGATGCCATGACTCAAGATAGTATGAGCGCCGGGCGAAAAGCTTTGGCTTTTTTTTGAGGTGGATTTCCAGAGCACGTTCACCCACGTCCCGCTCCAAACTTCGGCACAACAAACCTTCGCATGTTCACGTGCACCGAGGGCTTGCGGATGATTTCAGGGCTGTGGATTTCAGACTTACACCCCAAACGGGGGGGCCTGGCGGTTGAAGTAGCGTCGTATCTCATCCATCACCTGAGCATGGGCGTTCAGAACCCCAAACCCTAAAGCTTAAACCAAAAAGCCCGAAGCTTACAAAACCCCAACCTCCCCAACCTTTTTGCGTAGTACCCACAGTAACTCTCTAGAGCCCCCTCACAATATCTCTAGACAACCTCTGCAGGAACCCTTCTGCTAACCCGTAGAGCCTTTTAGAACCCTTAACCCAGTAAAGGACTGGCCAGACACCGCCGTGGCGGCGCGCCGCGCCGCCGGGTCGGCGGCACTGGCGCTCAGAGCCTATACCCGGCTCGCAGGGTGTTTGAGAGGGAGGCCTCGCCTGTATAGGCCTTAGGACTGCGGGGGTCTATGAGGGTCTTAGGATTTTGGGGCTCGGGGTTTAGGCCTTTGGATTTTGGGGTTTGGGGGATTTGGATTTTGGGGTTCTGGTATAGGCCTTTGGATTTTGGGGTTCTGGGTTTAGGGATTTGGGGTATCGAGTATGGTGGCCTTAATCATGCGGCTTGGGGACTGCGACAAACTGCAGATCAAGGGGAGGATACAGGCTCGAAAAACGTCATATAGGGCCTTAATGATTAGGATAGGGTTCCCTTTAAACGGTTCCTTAAAGGGGTCTACTATAAGGTTCTATGCTATAGGGGCCTTAATAATTAGACTAGGGTTTTGGGATATTTCATACTGTAACTCATAAGTGTTGATAGGGAGCCGCTACAATAGTATTGGTGGTTACTTAAGCACTTAGAATGCGTGAGCTCTAACCTGCAGCAAGCCTGGCTCCAGCATTACTCCAAAGAAAACCGCAAGACTCAAGCCGCTTTGCCTTCAAGCCCATACAAGTAACACCCTAAAAGCCTTCGCAAGCCCAAACGCCACAGAACCTTCAACCCCTGCCGTAAGATTGAAGTCCGCAGCATCAACCCCAAAACTCCAAACCTAAACCCAAAACCCTCAAAGTAGGCCAAAAAGCCCTAAGCCTGCAACCCGCAAACCCTGAACCCTGCTACGCCAAGCGAACCTCACTGCAGCGCTGCCTCGGGAATACGTGTATTTGCTGCCGAGCATGCTTAGAGGATCATGGGACTTAGTAACTAAGGTAACTATACTTACAGTTACTTATGACCCCTCTTAAAATACTTACAACCATACTTACTACGTCCCATGATCCTCCAAGTGGTCTTGCTTTCCAGGTCTTGGGAGAGTGTGGAGTTTGAGAGTTTGGCTTCGTTAAGTGGTGTCATCAAGGCCTCGTGGATACCTGCTCTAACTTCAGACGCCTGCCGCAAAGGCACTCACGAAAACGTGTCTGTGGTTCCAGTGAACCGACCAAAAACCCTAAACCCTAAACCCCAAACCCTAAACCCTAAAGTTAGTTTCAGAGTGCGCATTTCAGGGTCAAGGTTCCAAGAGGGTCCATACAAACTACTATTACGGAAACCAGTTCCGTCTTTTGGGGTTTAGTTCCGTAGAGGTAGTATATGTGGACCCTCTGGCTACTACATTAGGGAATCAGTTCCGTCTGTTGGGGTCTAATTCCATAGTGGTAGTATATGTGGACCCTCTGGGGTTGCAAGGCTGCACCAATCAGGCTGCCAGTGCAGGCGAGTCACAGCTCTGCGAAAACATCAACGTCCTCGTTCGGATATGCTGGATTCCTGGAAGGATGAGCACAGACAAGCATGGACACGGATCATCGCACATAGACATAATACTAGTAGGTTAGCAATCACTCCCGTTCCGACGGCTTCGTTCATTCGGAACCCGAAACCTCTCGTAAACGCACCTGAACTGTCGTCTGAAACTGATGGCCTTCCGAGATCGAAGGCCAAAGGTGTTGAAGCCATCATGAGGGCGAGGTGTTCCCCTAGAATCCTAAAGCATAAACCCCTAAACCCTAAACCCTTGCAGAGAGGGGGGCAAAGAGGGAGGGAGGGAGAGCAGCGAAGATGAGGAGGGGCCAGGCACAACTTCAAGTTGTTTAGGGGTTTCGGGGGGCTTACTATAGGAGCATTAATTGTCGGATGAGGGTTTTGGTGCATATTATCATATACAGGTAACCTGCAACCGCCCAAAATGGTATGGGCAATTATTGAGGCCGCGCTATATTAGGGGTTTAGGGTTGAATGAGCTAGACATTGTGCTACTGGCACCAAACCATCTCATGCTATGCAATCCGGAGACTCCAATATCCCTTACCCAAGAATTATACCTTAATTTGTAGTAGGATCCCTAATATGATTTAAGGCCCGATTTAAGGAGTCTCCGGCAACCTTCGATCAGGAATGCGCGTTCTAGCCTCACACCATTTTGAAGAAGGAACTCGGAACACCTAACTCTCGGTCCAAAACTCCACCACGGTGTAGGGTTTAGGGTTTAGGGTTGAACTCCTGCACGGAAATCCTATCCCGTTTCCCAACGTGGCCTGACCAAACTCTGTGGCGACAGTGGGCCCGGTGGCATCAAGCTCTCCACCTCGCTGCAAGGCGGGGTACCAAAACGCCATGGTGTAACAAAAATTACTGGTAACATGAGCAATAACAAGCAGAGGCTTGGATGTTGTAAATTGTTTAGGGTTTAGGGTTCGAAACAAAAGAAAACTGGCGTCTTGGCCCCATGGTCGTGTACTTGGTGGTTTCCCGGTTTTTCTGGCGGTTTAGAATTTGGGGTTTAGGGTTTGCTAAGAGTCTTCCGCTTAAGTAGTCTCACAAACGAAATCGGTCAGGACGAGCCCACCAGGAAAGGTAACGAAAAATGTTCTTTTAAAGTGCCTTAGAATCCACCAATCTTTGAGGTTCCTCCCAGTTGGTGCCCTGAAACTCCCGAAAAAGATTGATCAATTTCCATCCATTTCCCAAATGGCCGTTGATTGTTTGACCGTTCATCAATCGTCCTGTTGCTTTTGTTGCCGCAGCGCATATGCAGACCGGTCTGCGCATCGTGACTGCTGTGTTGCCGGTGTTTATTGCTCTTCTTGTCCCGGAAGTGATCAGAACGATGCTTGTGAAGTAGGGGGAGTGTGATGAAAGTGGTGATGACTCCCCTACACCCTAAACCCTAAACCGTCGGTGATGACGTTGATGAGGACAACCTGAAAATGCTGATGGCGATGACCGAAGGATGACGCTGATGATGGTGCTGCCTCTTCTTCGTCATCACAACAAGCATAATTCAGGGGCCTCACTAATTAGAATGGGATTTTGGGTCCAGTATAAATCGGTAAATTTTTCTGGCCCCTATACTACTCATCTTTAGCTCATCGTTGGTCATTGTCATCATCGGGGCCTTCGCTTTCGTCATTACCGCTACTACTGCTACTTGGCCAGCAACCCAGAAGTCTACAAGGGTGCTATGCGTTTCGAAAGCTTTGTCTTCTACAGGGCTTATAACTTATAATACGGGTTTAGAGCTCTAGGTGCTTAGGGCTTCAGGGCTTCTGGAAGCCAGTTTAGGTTCAGGGTTTACTCCCGATTGCACTCCGCTTGTCCCGGCAGCACCCAAGCCTTACCTGTGGTTAGTAGGGAATGGAAGTATGGTAGTAATAGTAGCTATAATTGTACCCTATTCCTGCAGTCCCTACTAACCCAAGGTAAGAAGCCTGCCTCCTTGAGAAGGGCGACATCACTAGAGCTGAAACCGTTGCCGGAGAAAAATGGCAATTGCCATCCTGCGCAAAGCACGAAGTTGTGTGAAAGTTTCTGGCTTGTTGGATTGGGTTGAAGTTCGGTGCAGCCCACCGAAACATGCACTGTACCAGAAAACTTCGATGTTTCCATGAACCTCCAATGCATCTCTCACTCACAGGTACCTGTATCCAGGAACTTGATGCAGCTTCAGGACTACTCCTTAGGAACATTGAGGTTTTCAGCGCCCGGACTATCTTCAAGCCCCGCAAGAGACTATGCTAAGAGCTGAACTTGTGAGCCGGAGCCCTTCCTACCTTCACGCTCCATCTGAGACTATTTAGAGGATCATGGGACTTAGTAACTAGGGTTATAATTGAGGTAACTATACTTAAAATTACGTATAACCCCTCTTAAGGTACTTATAACTTATAACCATACTTGCCAAGTACCCCCGGCCCCCCCCCCCCCGCCTGGCATGAACTGCCGCGACAAGAGGCTGTACACGGTCATCCCATCTTCCGAGCCACTCATGCAGCGACGAAAAGTTCACTCCGCCCCAGAGCAACGACTAGCTGGCAAGTAGATGGCAGCTAGCACAACAGCAAATTGCTCTTGGTTTCGTACCCAATACTTTCCGGTTAGCTCTTGGGAGTAAGCAGACAGCAACTGCAGCAGAACTGTCAAGATAGTGCTGGCAATGCTGGCAGTAATATTTACAGATGCGGTGGCAGGGTAGCTAGCAGACACTGGTTCGTGAGTCCTGCCGGTGCGTGTTCCATATGAGTAGTATGTCGTGAGTAGACACTTGTGCGTAAGATTTCACATGCAGCATTGCAACAGCGTGTAATATGTTGCAGCAATGGTAGTAGTAGTCGTCGTCGTCGTCGTCGCAGTCGTGGTGGCGGTGGTAGCAGTTGTAATAGTATTAGTAGTAGTGGCAGCAGTAGTAGTGGTAGCAGTGGTATTGTAGCAGTGGTATTGTTAGTAGTAGTAGTAGTAGTAGTAGTAGTAGTAGTAGTAGTAGTAGTAGTAGTAGTAGTAGTAGTAGTAGTAGTAGTAGTAGTAGTAGTCAGTAGTAGTAGTAGTAGTAGTAGTAGTAGTAGTAGTAGTAGTAGTAGTAGTAGTAGTAGTAGTGGTAGTAGTAGTAGTAGTAGTAGTAGTAGTAGTAGTAGTAGTAGTAGTAGTAGTAGTAGTCGTAGTAGTAGTCGTAGTAGTAGTCGTAGTAGTAGTAGTAGTAGTAGTAGTAGTAGTAGTAGTAGTAGTAGTGGTAGTAGTAGTAGTAGTAGTAGCAGGAGGAGGAGTAGTAGTAGGAGCAGCAGCAGCAGTGGTGGCAGCAGCAGGAGCAGTAGTAATTCTTGATGCCGTTGGGATCACAGCTCGAAAGATTCGAAAGCACCATACTACCACAATGGCGACGACAACCAGCGGAAGGGCAGACCAATCGGAAAGCTTCCTCGATCTGCCCCACCTGTCGGATCAGGGTTGCTGGCTAAGAGCTGAAGTACTAACGGTTCAGGGCTCACCCAGAGACTCCAATACCCCTTAATTAAGGAATACTACTTAAATCATATTAATTAGGGATCCTATTATAATTTAAGGTATGTTCCTTAATTAAGGGGTTTTGGAGTCTCTGGGCAGGGTTGGGGGCCTATCATTTAGGGCAAAGGCAGGGCTTGGGGCTCAGGGTTGGTGATTTAAGACTTGGGCGGTCGGCGTTGAATTGGGGGCTGGCATTTGTGCTTCTGTTTCGCTCATAGCTGGTGTAGTGCTGAGTGATGGTCGGCATGAGAACTTTAAAGCTACAGAATGAGAGGCCCCAAACCCCGAAACGATCCCTTACTCTTCCGATGGTCAATACTTCTACGTCTAAACGCCACCTACACATCCCCAAACCCTAAACCCTAAACCCTAAGGCCCTAATCGAAACTGCAGCCATGAACTTCCCCCAGACGACACCTCGAAATGGAGCTTCACCAAGATGGAGAAGGTAATGTTCGAGGGCTGCACTCGCGACTGGAGCATGTCCTGCACCCAGGTCTGGGTAGGGGTCAGGAACTCTCTTGTTTTGGGCTTGTATGGGGAGTTTAGGATTTTGGGTTAAAGGGCTCTAGTGCTTTGGGCTTTTATTCGTTCCCTCGGCCCTAAACCTAAACCCTAAACCCAAACCCCTAAACTCTCAGCCCTCAACCCTAAACCCTAAACCCCAAACCCCTAAACCCTCAGCCCTAAACTCTGGATTGAGGGCATGTCTGCCCTGCTCCTGGAAGACCCTCATGCCCTCGTTGAACCTGGGTCCGAAGGCATGGGGCTGAGATTTCTGGGTTCATTTTTATTTTTTTTTTTGGGGGGGGGGGGGGCTCCTTTTTCCATCTGGGTTTAGGGTTTGAGGTTTAAGGCTTTTTTTTCAGGTGCATTTACAGGCTTTGGGTTTAGGGTTTACAGTTTAGGGTGTAGGGTTTAGGGTTTCCGGCTCGGACTCGTTCATTGGATTCCCTCAGGATGGGCGTCAGGCGATAAAGAAAGAGTAAGAGCAATGGTCTGCCAAAAAGTCCCTGGACCCTAAACACCGAGAAACTTCTGGGACTTGGCGCAGCCGTCGATGAGGCTGTTGTACCTCGAAGGCGCCACGTGGGACGGAGAGGGTCATGGACGGGCCGCTCAGGTCGCTTAGAGGATTTTGACCCGAGTAGGAACAGGTAGATAGCAGGGCTCTTCCAGCGTGATTTTTTGTTCAAGGTACTTGCTCTTGTTGAAGGTGCAAAGGACCCTAGATGAGCGTCACAACAAAAAAGTGAAGAAAAAAAACATTCCTAGTGGCAGCCTGGGCACATGATCTCGTCGCACTTCAGGTTCCTAGCCTTCAGCTCTTTCCAGAGGGCCAAAGCCTTGTGCACTTGCCCGATTTGGCTGTAGCCCTTGATGAGGGTACTAAAGGTGATGAGGTCGGGTTCAATGCCCATCTGCATCATGTCCTGCAAGAAGTATGCAGCCGTCTGAAGATCACTGCAGCGCACGCAGACATCCATGAGAGAGTTGAAAGTGACGAGGTTGCACGGCACCTGCTCCATTCGCATCTCGTGGTAGAGGTTCATGGCCCCCTGCAGGTCGCGCATCTTCGCGAGGCCTTTGATCAACGTCGCATAGAGAACTGTGTTCTTGTGCATGCCCTGCATGCGCATCTCCTGGAAGATTGCCATTGCTTTGTCCAGGCTGTTGCATTTCACACAGGCGTCTAACACGCAACCGCACGTGACCGGGTTGATGCCCAAGCACCGACTGCGCATCTGCTGCCAGACTTTGATGACCGAGTCGGTGTCCCTGGCGCGCCCGTATGCCTTCACAACGGTGCCAAAGGTAACAGCAGAGGGTGCAACCCCATAGTCGTTCATCTTGTTCAGTGTCTGCTGCAGCTTCACCATGTCACCAGTCTGCCCCAAGACGTTCAGCAAGGAGTTGAAGACGATCTCATCAACATCCTCCTTCTGCTGGTCAATGAAGGCCTCAACGAGGCTAATCCCCCGGCGCACGCTGCGCTTATCCGTGGAGGACTCCAAACTCTTCGTCAAGATGGAGACGAAGTACTTGTCTGCCTAGAGTCAAGGAAACCCAGAGACTCCAACATCCCTCACTTAAGGAATATACCTTAAATCTGTTTTTTGGGTCCTACTACAATTTGAGGCATATTCCTCAATTAAAGCATATTGGAGTCTCTGGGAAGCTTCTCGAACCCAGCGTTCGCACAGCCTTGAAACCCTGGCTTGTTGGGATGTTTTGGGTTTATCTAAGAGGCTTGAGGTTTCCATGAGGCTTTCTACTATTCGGTGATCCCTTCTCCCCTAAACCCAAGAGCCTAAACCCCTAAACCCTAAACCCCCCAAACCCCTAAACCCCTATACCCTAAACCCCTATACCCTAAACCCCTAAATCCTAAACCCCCTAAACCCCCCCAAAAACCCCTAAACCCCTAAACCCCTAAATCTAAACCCTAAACCCCTAAATCCCTAAACCCCTAATCCCTAAACCCTAAACCCCTAAACCCTAGAAGAGCCCAAACTCCAGTCCTGGCCTTCCGCCCGCATCGAAGGAGCAAGTCCAAGACCTGATGGGAGGCCAAAAGGGGGGGTTTAAGATTCTTCTGGGGTTTTAAATAGGATAACTACAATTATAGCCCATATTCGGGGACTTATAACTCCACAAAGAGGGGGATTCAGATTCCTCTTGGGGTTCCTTTAAGGAATCCTTTAAGGATTCCTTTCAGGGCATCCTTAGGGATTCCTTTAAGGGTTCGGGGGTTTAAGATTCTTGTGGTAGGGATTCCTTAATATGAACCCTATTATGGGAACCCGTTCGCCGGATCAGAGGGGGTTTAGGGTTTAGGGGTTTGGGTTTAGGGTTCAGGGTTCAGGGTTCAGGGTTCAGGGTTTAGGGTTTAGGGTTTAGGGTTTTGGTTTAGGGTTTAGGGTTTAGGGTTTAGGGTTTAGGGTTCGGAGAGGCAGGATAGCCCAAGGGGTTACTTTTTTTAAGGTATCTATAAGGGTTCCTTTAAAGGGATCTACAAGGGTTCCTTTTACAGTTTTTATGAGGGTTAAGAAAAGGATTTTGTGATGTCGGTGCCTTTCAATTAGAACAGGGCGTTGGAGTATATTCTGCTATATGTATATTGGGATTATGAGGTGATACACGCAGGGCACTATGCTGCTTTAAGTCCAACCGGAGAATTTCACAGATTTGAGATGCCCAGGAGCTGATCTCGGAGTCTCGAATGGTGTTGAATCATCCCAGGAACCGAATCCCCTAAATCCCTAAACCAGAAACCCTTCAAGCAGCGGGGCCGTTCAAAGACCCACATGCTAGATCGCAAGGCTGCAACTCTTGCCACAAATAACTGCTGCTATCAAACCTCTATAGCATATCAGAACATGACTAAAGCCCAAGAGGACTCACCCCTGAATCGCCGCGCAAGGTGCATCCCAGGCATCCGTCCATGAGCGGGTCCGCACTGTAGCATCCAGCATCCTTGGAACAGTGGCCACCATGACGAACACAAGCACGACGACGACCAAAGACGACAAAGACGATGTGATAGGAGCACAAAGACGACCACAGCCGCCACCACCACGATTGACGACCCACGACCACCACCAACATCATCAACGACAACAACAGCCGCAGCAGCAAGGCACAGCACAGCAAGATCGTCGCGACCGTCAACCATCATCGCTGCTGAACAACAACTACGACAGCAACAACAGCAAAAAGAGCGTTGTAAACATCGGCGGTAGCATTGTACCCCAGACCCGAAGTTGGCTTGGCACTGCCCGAGCAACGCCTACAAGCGCGAAACATGGACATGGAGCTCTATGAGTCGGTTTAGGGGTTTAGGGGTTTTGGGTTTAGGGTTTAGGGGTTTAGGGGTTTAGGGTTTAGGGTTTGGGGGTTTAGAGTTTAGGGTATCCCTCTTGAAGACCGCACACTTCCCACAGCTCTCAATGGAGAGCCCCACCTCTCCAACCTGTGCAAAAAAAACAAAAATCTCTAGGCCGGCGGCATGTTGAAGATCTGGTCGCCCGGCGCCGGTGCTCCTTCCAATAAGATAGAATACATACACAATGTACAATAACTACTATACTATGTAGCGTATTAGATGGGCTATACGATAAAAGAACTATAACCTATAGTCGATAATCTGCAACCTATCTAGTATAACAAGAATATTGGTTTTCAATGTCACCAATAAGAGATAAATGCATAGCAAGGAACCCTCTGAGCTGTGAAGCTTTCTTTCGGGATCAAGGTTTCAGGGTTGAGGGTTTAGGATTCAGGGCTTGGGTTCAAGGTTGAGGTTGGCAGAACTCCTTTTTGTATCTGCCCACCATCTCAAGCTGACAGAAGGCTCCTTGAGGGTTTAGGACTTTAGCTTTAAAAACTTTAGCTACAACATACAGCTGGGTACTTATCGAAATCATGGCCCCTTTTTGGGTGCCCTATATTATTAGGTGCCGTATAATAATAAGGACCCAAAGAGGGACCCTAATTTTGACAACCACCCCGCTGGACAACATCATCATTTTCAGGGATCGGGCTTCCAGGGTTGTGGGATCGTGAGCCCTTCATAGGGATCCTTAGGGGTGTAGGGGGGAGGGGTGTAGGGGACTATATTTCCTTAGATAGGCCTTATTAGTCCTTATTATGGGCCTTAAGGCCCCCTACCCCCTTTTTCTACACCCTTAAGGATCCCTATGAGTTCTGGTATCGTGGGCCTTTCGGAGTCTGAGGCCTACGACTTGGGGATGTGGGTTTAGAGTCAAAGGCTCAGGGGGGTCAAGATGGGCAAAATCTGGGCTGACGCACACACGGCACCTGAGCCTCTAAGCCTCTAAGCATCTAAGCTTGTTGACGAGACATGCTGAGTCACAGAATCATTTCATACCGTATCTTCCCTTTTGCGGCTGCTGGTGCTGTTGCTCCGGCGATGCGGACAAGCGTTGTCCTCTGGCAGAGGAGACTTACCTTTGGTTAGTAGGGAATGGAGGAATGGGGTACAAATATAACTACTATTACTACCATTCTTCCATTCCCTACTAACCAAACGTAAGGAGAGTCCTGGCTGGCACATGCCTTCTAGCAGCTTGACCTCGTCTCGAAGCTCATTGAGCTGTCGTTGGAGATTTCGGCTTGGAGGGTTTGGGCGTTAGGGTTTCGGGTTCAGGGTTTCAGGTTTTGGGTTTTAGGGCTTTTGGGGTTTACGGTTTTAGGGGTTTAGGGTTTAGGGTTTAGGGTTTTAGGGTTAAGGGTTAGAGGCCTCCTTGGCATCAGGCTTCTGGGTGTTTTCGCAGGTAAGAGGAAGCCTAGCGGGCCTAGCATCTCTGGTTTTATGCCTCCGGGTTCGGTGTCGGTGTTGATCACACGCCAGAAGCCGACTGGATATGCAAGACCTTGTGTCGAAGTCCTGACAGCTCACAACCTGCCTGCTTGCCAAATTTTCCACAACTCGAGCGAACGAAACTCTGCGCCAATGTCTGGCTGAGCGACGTAACAGCTGGAAGACTTGCAAGCCGCTGCCCTGAACCATCAAAGCCCCAGCTTCAAGCCGAAGCCCCGGCCCAACCTACAAGACGCCAAACCATGCAAACCTGGCAAAACTGAGACTTCAGACGATATGGTGTTTAAATCAGTTCGGGGTACCTTAATTTGGGGTCCTTACAATAAGGATCCTACTATTTAGGGTACTATATTGGGGTCCGCCTATTTTTCGGAAACGCCCATATGAAACCCCAATGTGTAGATCCCATCTCACCGGCACCCCAGTTTCTTTGAAACCCCTAAAGAAAGAAAAGGGCCGCTGGGGCCAAGGGCTGCTGGGCCATGGAGCTGCGACTGCAGCAAGGATCGGAGAACTGTCTCCTTGGCATCCAGGGCTTTGGTAGGGTTTCGGGCTTAGAGTTTAGGGTTTCGGGCTTAAAAAGGGCTTCAGAAGGGTTTGGTACGGCTTTGGGCTTAGAGTTTAGGGGTTCGGGCTTGAAAGGATTTCAGAAGAGTATGGGACACTTCGCCCGGATTCCTCGACCCAGGGTCCTTAGAATAAGGTTTGGGGGGTATTTTATACTATAGTTATCATAATAACCCTGTCTGTAGGGGCCGTACTAGTTAGATTAGAGTTCGGGGTTACACTTTTAAAAAATAATGCCCACTTCGAGCCTGTACATGTTGGAGTTCCACGTATTCTGAGACTCCTAGAACTTCGGGGGGCTCTGGGGCTTTTGGGGTCCAGGGTGTTTCAGGACTTTCTTGGGTTACCCATATTTTTTGAAAGTGTACCCCGGACTCTAATCTAATTCGCCTCGGCCCCGGCCGAAGCGGTCAGAGGTTCCTATTCGGATTCCCTCTATTCCCCACCTCTTAATCCCCTCTTCAGTGACCCCACCCCCAAAATTCGCGCCATGCAAGGTCTCCACTAGATTTTGGCTGTCTGTAGCCCCCACCACACCCCCCCCACCCTGCCCCCCCCCCTGCCCCCCCCCTGCCCCCCCCCCCCCCCCCCCCCCCCCCCCCCCCCCCCCCCCCCCCCCCCCCCCCCCCCCCCCCCCCCCGCTCCCCCCTGCCCCCCTCCAGGCAAAGTTCGGAAATAGCGTTGCTTTGGGCAGCACAGCACGCGGCTCCACGACCTAACCTTCTCATAGCATCGGAGATTCAAGCATCGCTATCGCCAGCTAGGGGCGATGTCGAATATCAGGCACAGAACGCGGAGATGCTACAATGGTCACATCAACCTCTTGCTGGCTTCTTGAGACAAGCCCTCTGCCTTACGCTGCTCTGCCCTGCTTTGCCCTGCCCTACAATTAATACAAGTGCGATTCCAACTGTTGTTATTTTCGTACAAGAGCTTCCTGCTGCGCCGGATGGTAGCCAGTCGCCGCATGCGCGAAAAGCCGGGCCGAGGCGGACGACGCGAAGCGTTTCAAATTAATACGGCCCCTACAGACAGAGTTATTATGATAACTACAATATAAAATTTCCCCAAACCTTATTCTAATTCATACGGCCCAGGGTTTTTTTGTTGGGGTTTGCGCCTCAGGGCTTGGGGGCCGTAGGGCTCGGCTTTCAAGAGATCGCTCCTGCTTTTTGTAAGTCTGCGCAGACTTCTTCAACCTTAAACCCCTAAAACCCTAAACCCCTAAACCCTACCTCTAAACCCTAAACCCCTAAACCCCTAAATCCTAAAACCCCTAAACCCTAACCCCTAAACCCTAAACCTCTGAACCCTAAAACCCCTGAAACCCCTAAACGCTAAACCGATTCTTATCTTTAACTTCTGCATTCCTTTGCACAGCAGGGCCTAGAGTCATGCTCCATTCGAGCAGGCTCTTGAAGAGGGTGCGCCGAGCAAAAGCTCACAGACAGAATATAGTGTAATGTAGGAGCCCTGATAATTTTAGTAGGGTTTTGAAGTATACTATATTATAACTACTATATCAAAATTACACTAAGGGCCCCCCAAAAAATAGTATTGGTAATTATTTAGGCCCCTATATTGAGTTGAGCTTCCTTTGTTGGTGGTTCCGTATGCAGACACACAAGCACCCATTCGGCCAAGCAGCGAGGGAGCTGGGGAGGATCTGCTCCCAGCCGGCGGGCTCATGTAGGGCCTCCAGGCAGCTTATGCAGGGTGAGGGTGGCACCGGGGACACACAACAAGCACTCCAAACAAGCCGTCGTGCAGCAGGACCACCACCACCACCACAACCACCACCACACCAGCACGTACGTCACTGTGATCACCACCACTGTTATCAGAAACATGTCAGTATGGCCTCGGTCTAGTCTAACTAGAATGGCTGTGAAACCTAAGACCCTTTTTTTCTCTCGCAGACCCCGAACCCTAAACCCTAAACCCTAAACCTAAACCCCCAAACCCCTAAACCCCTAAACCCCTAAACCCTAAACCCCGAAGACCCCTACTCGACGGTGCACCCGTGTCCCGGAGCTGCAGGTCGCCTCCAGGGCAAAGACGTAAGCATCCTCCACTCGGTCCTGCCGGGAGAACGAGGAAGGAAAGGTTCAGATAGGGAGAGAGAGAGAAAGGGAGAGAGACGGAGAGAGAGACACAGAAAGAAAGATATTGACATGGTGTGAGAGGGAAGTGCAGAGGGAGAGAGCGAGAGAATGAGAGGGATGCATGTCTTTGCATACGTACGTATATATACATGTCTATCGAACGATCGCATCCGCCAGACAATAAAAAACCGACAAACCCACCAGGGTACAACATGAGATGCAGGCCAGAAGGCTGTGAACTTCGACGAATCACCACTTGCCCATACAGCGAGCGCGCCTTGCGAATGTATGCCTCCACGACAGCATGTCGAGCAGTGGCTAGCGAAGAGGCTGGAGCCTTCGCCAGGTCTGAGGACTTGCAGTTTAGGGTTTAGGGTTTAGGGTTTAGGGTTTTGAGGCTTTAGTGGTGCGGCTAGCACAGGGCCCAAGCAGCGTTCAACAGTGTCCAGGAGCATTCTGTACTACAGCTACCTAGTTAGCCAGGGACTCAAATCTAATCATACAGTCATACAACTCACCATTGATACCCTGAAAGCAAGCATTGCTAAGGCCACACAGATCTCCTCTGAAGAAAAATCAGCTCCAGCCCCCCCTGCAAACAGGACTATCAAATCCTAACATATGGGTCTGAAACAGTAGCAGCAATATGCCCCTGTAGCCCCTTCTATGACAATATTGCTTTGTACCTCACACCCCAAAACGTATTCTACTTCTTAAGGCTCCTACAAGGTAAAAGGCCCAGGAAATTCTAAACCCTAAACCCTAATGCTAAATCCTAAACCCTCCAAGCCTTTAAAGCCCGGATCCAGCCTAATCCCTTTAAAGGGACCACTTTAGGGCCTTAGGGGATCCCTTTTAAAGGAACGCGGGGATCCCTTCAAAGGAAGACCCTAAGCCCAAAAGCAATCACCAAAACCTGAAGTACCAAACCCAGGAAACCCCACCAGCACACTTATACCTACCTTGCCCGAATACCCGAGAAAGCCCCCAAAACCTAAGCCCTAAACTGAAGAAAGCCGAGGCCCCAAGAAAAGAAGGCCCCAAGCCCCCCTCAAACCGTAGCGCCTCGCGACACTCCTTGCGAAGCAGATCCTCAGAGCTGGGTCAAACAGTGGAAAAGGCCTTAATGCTCGTTTTAATACTGATAATTCCATGATCGTTAGAGATTTTGGGCTCTTTTTTGTGCTTCTTACAAAGATAGCTATAACCCACATAAGCTTAATCAGTGTTCTTTCGGCGCCCGGAGCAGCCTTGAGCCGCCTTGCGAGTTCGGGGGGGGGGGGGGGGTTCGGGTTTAGGGTTTAGGGTTTAGGGTTTAGGGTTTAGGGTTTAGGGTTTAGGGTTTAGGGATCTATAAGGGTTTCTATACACGTACTATAGGGGGTACTATAAGGATTTCTAGGAGGGTTATAAGGTTTCGGTTTAGGGTTTAGGGACTAGGGGTTTAGGGATCCTTAAGGGCGCCTTTAAAGGAACCTATTAAGGGCTTTAGGGATAGGCTGCAGTGCCTTCGGAGGGGATGAGACCGCGCTGGATTTCCGGCGTCTGTGCGATGATTTGGGGGGCGGGTCTGTCTTACAACTAAGTGGCGCTTCGGAAGCCTTCGTTGTGCGAATCAGACTCAAGGGGTTTAGGTTAGCATTTAAGACTGGGGCTTAAATCCTAAACCCTAAACCGAAACCCTGCTACCCTCCCAGAAACCCTTATAGTGCCCCCTAGGTTGATCCCTAGAACCCTAAACCCCCAGTTTGGGGCTCTGGGAGTCCTTTTGGTTCCAATAACTCCCCGCTGAACATGAATTCCTGAAAAACGAAACCTAAACATCCCTGAACAAAAAGTCAAAGACAGGAATGTTTGAGAAAAATAGCAATAATAAAATAAAGTCAACCCAAAAATATTCAACAAAACCTAAAACCCAAAAAGCCCCCCCCCCCCCGACTCTGAGAGCCGTGCTGCCGCCTTCTCAGCTTCGCCCTCCTCCGGCTTTCGGCTTTTAGGGTTCAGGGCTTTTGGGTTTGGGGCTTTTCGGGTTTAGGGTTTAGGGCTTCAAGAGTTTAGGGTTTGGGGCTTTAAGGGTTTAGGGTTTAGGGCTTCAAAAGGTTTAGGGTTTAGGGCTTGAAGGGTTTAGGGTTTAGGGCTTTAAGGGTTAAGGCTTTAAGGGTTAAGGCTTTAAGCGTTCAGGGTTTAGGACTTTAGACATCGGGATGTTCCAAGACTTTTGAGTTTATTGCCTGGGCTTTAAGACCAAAGAGTTCCAAGATGTCAGCGCTTCTGTTGGGGACTTTAAGATGTTTGAGGGCTTACGAGTCTTCAATTATTGAGGTTTGAAGCTCTTTATGCTCGTAGGGCTGTTGAGGCTTGTGGGGGCTTGGGGTTCGAGGTTGGGATTTGTGGGCTTTAGCTTCGAGAACTGAAGTAGTAGTGGCTTGCACCTGCGCCAGCGCGGTGATGGTCTGCAGCGCCTGCGGCGTGGGTATTTTCCACTGCCGTGGGGATCCCGAGGGAGAGAGAAGGAGCTTTCGATTTGGGGAGTTATGGTTTGGGGCTTAGGGTTATAAGGGGTTTAGGGTTTAGAGTTTCGGGTTTCGGGGTTGGTCTTTGGGGAGGCTGGGGGCTCAATTCGCGGAAGGGAAGCTGGCTCCGCCGGAAAGCTTCGTGATCCCGCGGTTTCCAGAGCAGCCTGTAACAGGTGTCCAAGCGACCTCTGTGCTTCTCCTGAAACCATATCATATACTAGTTCATAATCAAAAAAATATTGAATCATAATACTGTTAAACTGTAACATAATATGCTGCAATATACTGAAACATACGAAATACAACCTCTATCAAACTATACAATAGTATAATATAACATAATACCGATGCTGCTTCAGCCCCGGACCCTTCCTCCTACGACCTTGGACGACGGCTACAGGCATTGGAAAAACCCAACCACCAAAGCGTAAACCTGAAACCTTAAACCCGAAATCGCCAACCCTCAAACCTTAAACCCTAAATCTTAAACCCTACACCCTAAACCCTAAACCCAGAAACCTCAACCGTGAAACCCCAAAACCTCCAACACGTGCAACTCGAACACCCCACCAGCAATTCTGAGCCAAGCTTGCACAACGGATCCTTTTCCGACAGCGCAGCTCCCTTTCAGTCTGTCATGTCTTCCGCGGGCTTAGGGACATTGCACTGGCGATAAAGCCAAAGCCTGGGTGCAGGATGTCCCTGGATTAGGGTTTAGGGTTTGGGGTTTAGGGAGGCGTAGGCTTTTCAGCTGGGTGTGGAAAGCAGGCCCTTGGAAGAACCATTTTCGCGGATGGGGGGGAGGATTCAATTTTGCCTTCGGTGTCATCGGAATGCTGAGTCCGTTCGGGAACGACCCAACTTGCGAACCCTGAACGGCCGAGCTTCACCCCGAGCCCATCTGTAAACGCTTGCCTTGTCCTGGCTTCTGAAAGCTCGACCCCGTGTACCCCAGGTCCCTACAAGTTCAACCCTAAACCTTCCACCCTCTAAACTTTAAATTCCTAACTCTTAACCCCTAACAACCTTGAACCGGAACCCTTAAGTGCCAAACCCCTATCTCCCACCACACTCAGACATCCATGCTCCGCCGGGCAGCCCCTGGCAGGTCAAGGTCTTTGAAGCTCAAAGGGATGGTCTAGGGTTTAAGCAAGTTTAGGGTTTACGGCTGCGGCTTCTACTGCTTTGGGATGCGGTTCCGAGGTGCGTTGTCATAGTTATGCACGGACTATGAAGAAGTAAAATTACTAATTATTCAGACCCCTGTCTTACTTGGCGTTCTTGGCTGCTCCCGTCTATCAACAAATGCCTGCGTCCCAAACCAAGACTAGCAGCCGTAAGCCATAGACCGCAAATGACACCGCCGGGAATGTCACATCCAAGAACCCTAGAGCCCTAAAGCCTACGCCCCTCACTGTAATCTAAATTCTAACACTCTGACCGCACACCCCAAACTCCCAAACGATACACTACCCAGCAATAGTTCGAAGATCGCCTGGAGTGACTGGACACCGGGTGGGGCTTTCCGCCTCCAGGATCTATTGTAGCATCTTGGATTTATAAAGAAAATTAGCAGGATAATGTAGGGGCCTTAACAATTCGAATAGGGTTATATTATACTCTAATTGAATAAGAACCCCCAAACCCTGTTTCAATTGTTAAGGCCCCTACATTACCGGAGAACTTAGAGTTAGGAGACTGTAGGATTTAGCGTGTAGCGTCGGGACTAGGCTTTGGAGCTAAGGGGCTACGGGAATAGGGTCTAGGGTTTAGGAGTTCAGGGGCAGAGGGTTGGTTGAGGGGCATGCACTTGCACTACTACTCCTACTACGACGACAACGACCGACAACGACTACCACCATCACCACTGCCACGACCACTACTGCTGCCACAGTACGGCCACCGTCGCTGCGACATGCCGCCGAATACATCTGACATACCCCTTACTGCTGTGCAGTACTACCGGCAGATTTGGTCATAGATGCTTCTCACATACTCAGATCCTGAAAACGCAACCTTGCATGACGGCCTTTTTCTGACAAAGCAGATCTTCTAGACTTCTAGGCGTTCGGCAAAACACTCAAGCAAAACACTCAAAGTAGCATGAGGTGCGAAGCAGTGTAAAGGGGGCTTACACCATTCGGCTGACAGTGACTCAGCCGGTTTTGGCATAATGAAAAGTCACCGCACTGCGCCCTGTAGGTAACTTGCAGGACATTACACCCTTGCAAACCACATGATTCATTATTATTTCACCTAAAACCGCCACTTACTCTACGCCACGGCCCAAACTGCAGAGGCCCTAAGCCCAAAAAATCCAGAACATCCCAGCAACTCGTGCCATGCGTTTCTTCGAGAACATCCTCCCACATCCACGGTATTAAACTGAAAGGAGAAATCAACTCGAAAACTCTTCCAACCTTACGCGGTAGCGCTTTTCTGGATATGGCAGGACGTTTGGGGCCATGGGTGCGGCGAGACTCGTTTTCCTAGGTGAGCGGTATCCTTCTGACGTAGATTTGGCTTTATCGCTGGTGCTTGCGAGACTGTGGGCTTTTATGGAATCTATTGTTGCAGTACATTTGGGGGCCCTAGTTTCGGTTAGAGGTCACGAAACAACGAGGCATTTAAACAACTTCAGACTTTGCTCTGGCGGCCTCGCGTTTCGGGAAGTCTGACCGGCAGGTTCCACCTTAACCTACCAATAAGAACCTACGAAAAAGTAGGGTTTAGTAGGTCTAGGCAGCTTCAGGGGGACGAAAATGCAGCAAAGAGGACGAAGTGAGTAGACGATCTCTGAACCCTAAACCCAGAGAGCCCAAAACCCTGAATTAAGGAATATAGCTTAAATCAGAATATGAAGCCCCTTATAGTTTCAGGTATATTCCTTAATTAAGGGGCATTGGGCTCTCTGGGAACCCTAAGCCCGTAAAGGTACCAGGAGAGCCCAAGGATCAGCAGACTGGGTGTGCAAAAGAGTCACGACGCAAGTCACACTTGAAGGCCTACGTCGCCCTAAACCTTATAGCAGTCCATATAAGCCCCCCAAAGTTAAGCCTAAACCCCAAACCCTAGACCCTCAACCCTGAACCTAAACCCCTAAAGCCCTCAAACTCCATTCATAGGCCCCTGCTAGTTCTACGAGGCCCCTCACTGTTTCGACCCTGGGTCGCCCCGCGGGACATCGCGCTTCGCGCTGTCGACGGGTTGAACTTCAAACGGACTGTCACTGTCGAGGGGCTCTACTTGGAGGTTCATGGGCAGTTAGAAGTGGGGCTATAAGTAAGGCAACGATATTTATAACCTATATTAAGGGACTTATAACTCCAGTTATAACTACCCATGAACCTCCAAGTAGGGATCAAAGCTCATGAAGGTCAAGGGCTTTATGGGGGTTAAGGAGCCCAGAGTGGCTACATTCAGTGGAGCTTAGGATGTAGGGCTTTCGTGGTGACCCCTCCCCAGCGAGACCCTGGTCAGGGCCACGTGGGCCTCAGTCAAGTGGCCCACCTCAGCTTCGATTAGAGGCTTCTGGGTTTAGGGTTTGAGGGTTTATAATGATGTTTAGGGTTTAGGGTTTAGGGTTTAGGGTTTAGGGATTACTATCGGGGATACCACAAATAAGGAAAATTACTACAAGGATTGTTATGAGGCTTACCATATGGAGTACTATAAGGTTACTATAGTGTTTGGCGTTTTAAAGGATCCAGCGGGCTTGAGGGCTTAGGGCTTTTAGTTTGGGGCTTAATGTATGCGGTATGTGATTCCGGGTTCGGGGGGGTAGGATTTAGGCTAAAGTTTTAAGGCTTGAGTTTCAGGGCTTGTCGACAGTTAGGCACGATGACACGGATACGATGACACAGCCTCTACGAAGGATGCTGATCCCCCCTTTAAGATAGAGAGAGAGAGAGAGAGAGACAAAGACTGAGTTCAGCCTCCAGGTTATAGGTTCCATGGCTTCTATCCTTATTCAGAGATGTTGCACGGATTTAGGGGTGGCACGGGGCCCTGGAGTGGCTCAAGGCGGCCAAACTACTCATGTGATATCTAACATACAAAATCTAACGTATAATATCTAGTACCTAATATCAGATATATGATATATAATATCCAAAATACAATACCCGGTATATAATAGCAATATCCAAGAAATGGCATCTACTTTATGATAGAAATATATAATATATAATGTATAGTATCTAATATGTGAATATCTACTTTAAGATACCAGGTATATGTCATATGGTAAAGTGTATAGTATCAATATAACGTATCTGATATACAAAACCTACAATCTAGTATACAGTATCTAGTATACGCTATCGAATATCCTTTGTCTAATGCAGAATATGTGTATATATATACACATATACATACATATATATATATATATACATTATACAATTTAGAATATGTAAGATCTGCTATATAACATATGACATGTGATACGTAAACATTTACATGTAATATATAATGTGCAATATACACTTCATGTGTGTATATATATATACACAGATATCCTGAACAACAGAGTATACTATAATACAGTATAGTACTATAACTATTATACCATACTACGGTATAGGTTTTTTGCAAGATCTGAACCCTCAACGCCAGCCGCCCTCACAAAGGGAAACTATACATCCGGCCCCAACCAAAACCCTACCTCGAGTCCCACAGATGCATCACACAAGTTGCAAACTGGAATCCATACCCCGAAGTCCTGAGCAGCCAAACACGACATCACCTTACCCTAAGCCCTCCTATCAACTAGTCTCAGCACGGAGCGTCCAACCTCGGCTCTTTGGACAACTTCGTCACCGAGGTACGGCTCTTCCTCAGCCGGTTCGGCTTGCTTCCCAAAGAGCAAGGTCGGATTCGGCTTTGCCTCACAGCTTCCCAAGGAACTGGGGGCGAACACTTGGGGGGCACTCGTCTTGAATGCCCCTGCGAACTTCAGAGTTGGTGGTTGGTGCCATCAACGGATATACCTATGCGAAATCCTACCATGCATGTGTATACATCCAGATACATACATAGGCATACATGTACGTGCATATATATATATATATATAGATACTTCCATGCATACATACACACACGACCGGCATATCTCATATGTATACGCATATAAACATACATGCATTTGTGCATATCTACATACACATACACGTACACATACGGGTACATGTACACATACACATGCAAGTACACATACCCATGCCCATACACATACATATACAAAAACATATACATATAGAGATACAGAAACACATACATACATACATACATACATACATACATACATACATACATATCTACATACATACATACACACGTACATACATACATACACACATTTACACTTGTATAACTGAATACATATATAGTGTGTACATATGTATATATACATATATATGTGCATATATATATATATATATATATATATATATGTACATATATATATATATATATACATACACAACCACATATTCATATGTGTGTATATATATATATATACATACATACGCGTCAGGATATAGAAAGAGAGAACTACGCCCCATGCATTTATCATTCTGTTAAAAGCAGCGATCGGCCCGATTACTCGCAGCATGCTTTGCATCCCACGAGGAAACCCTGAATGATCCCACATTGCAACTGGACTCAATACTATAATGCACAATCATGAAGTGTAAAACGCTATACCACACCGTTATAGCCCATAATATACTAGAACATAACATAAAAACTATGATATATACGACAATTAGGCTATGCTTTACCATCTATAGGTATCGCAAACTGCCCTGAACCAAAAACCACGTTGCTCAGGTGTGAACTGCCATGGAAATACGCTGAAGGTGCTACTCATCGCACAATCCTAAACCCTAAACCCTACACCCTAAACCCTAAACCGTGTGGCATCCCAAAACCTGGCACTCTCGGTTGGGCACCGTAGGCTTGCGAGACCTGGGGGACGAAGTCCTCTCAGCGGATTCGGGCCTACCATGCTCGGAGGAATGATATAAATCCTGCATGACCCATACTCAAGAATATACCATAATTCCCATAGTTTAGGGCCCTTAAGGTAATGCAGGATTTCTATCATCAACAGTAGTACAGTAACTAAGCTTATAAGTACCTTAATTGAGGTTATAAGTAGAAGTGAGGGGAACTAGGCCAGTCATGTAAAACTAGCGCACTGGCTGAACAACGTCCTTCAAGAACATCGGCGGCAGATTGATTTCCTCGAAGCTGACAGAGAAAGGAAAGCATTCGCAAACCTTCCCTCCTCACCTCCGCCCATTCTGCAATTCTACCCAAGGAGAGACGAATTGCCCGGAACTCACAAACTGCGGTCTTCGAAGAGGGCACCCCAAACTCCCCCCACCCGAAGCAACCCGAGAGCCTGCTCTCCACCGCCCTGAAATAAAGATCCCAGGCGCGACGGAATGCTTCACAATCTCACCGGACCAGACGTCGAAGTCGTACTTCGAGTAGCCCTCGAGGATGGTCGGCCTCCGCAAGGTTTAGGGTTTAGGGTCTAGGGTTTAGGGTTTAGTGTTTAGGGTTCTGAGGCCCAAAGCAAGGAACCAGATACCTCCTAACGTAGGAACCTGATTAAGAAGCCCTGGGCCCATAACCCCAAACTACTAGGATTCATACATAAGGAACCCTAATAGCAGCCCAAGGTTTCTCAATCAGGTTTCTACATTAAGTAAGAGCCCCTGTGACGATGAGAATAGAGTGCCTTTACAGGGCTCTTAAAAGGCTAAGCACTGGCTCGATAGTAAGGGTTTCCGCATGGCATGCCTGAACAGGATTCCCGGGAGGAAGCTCTGTGCTCTGTTTTAGGGGGTTTAGAGTGTAGGGGCTTAGGGTTTAGGGGTTTAGGGGGTTTAGAGGCTTAGGGTTTAGGGTTTGGGGCCTCGGTCTTTATTTTGGAAGCCACGGCCCGAAAGATAGATCGAGATGTGGCTCGTCGTGGTTAGTGCTGCCCTTCCAAATTATCAACCAGCGAAGCACACCTGTTCAGCTACAAGGCTTCACCGAGGAAAGAACGCCAGTGGCTGTAACTAGAAGCCCTCACCGGTAGACATTCAGCACATGGGCCGTTCTCTGAATTAGGGTCCCTTGTTAAGTTCCTAGAATCCCTGATAAAAAGGAGCCTCAAAGGCACCCTAATTCAGCGAACTACCCACATCGGCGTTGAGATGCGCATTCTCATGTCCCATGGGGCCCCCACTCCACTGCAGCGCCATATCCGTAGAGAGGCAAGCCTCAGAGACGGATCTTCGGCCAACCAAAGCACAGGTGATGTCAGTAGTTGCCGCAATGATGAAGATGATGATGATGATGGTGATTGCATGACGATGGTGATGGTTATGATGATGTTTATGATAATGACAATGATTATGATGACGCTGAGGGTTAACATCATAAAGCTGCGCATTACTGTGGATGATGCGAAGAGCATGAGGAAGACGAAAGCCTTCACAACCGCGTCTCTTAATGCTGTCGGTGGTAGACGAACCTGTAGCAGCAAGTGTGTTGCTACTATCTGCCCATGCAATGCTCATGCAACATCACCTTGGGGAGGCGGACTGGAGCGAGGGCGAAAGCACGACATGCAACACTGACATAGGCAGTAGCATGCAAAATGCTGAGGGCATCCGAGACGCTGGACAGACGCCAGGCAGGAGGCAGGAATGCCTGGCACTTCCACACTCATCAAATTTGTAGCCACCCGGCGCAACGGTAATGGGCCAATAGCAGGGATCTTAACCGGAGTACGCATGACAAGGATAGAAATGGCGAGAACCGTTTGCCCGTAGGCGCGAAGAAAACAACAAGAAGCTGATAGTACTCAGGAGAACTATGGCAACAACAATAACAGTAATGGCCACTGTAGGATTCGGCACAAGAAGTCAGAGTAAAACACTGTGAACAAGCTGAGAACTGCTTGGAAGAATGTCTTTTGTCGTTTAGAACGAAAAGTGAAGCACACCTGAGAGAATTGTGGGTCTCTGAATGGTATTGACAAGTGGACTCAGCTGCCAGATTCCCAGGTCCCCGAATCTCGTCTACCCCTGACGGGCACATATTTTGACAATCTGCACAATCCAAGCCCAACTTCCAATGTGAACCTAAAAAAAACCTTCGTCCGCCCTGGCTAAGGCGTTTAGCTTGAACCGAAAGCCGTCCAAGCCCTAAATTCTCCAGACGGGGCTTCTTTTGCTAGAAGGGTTGCTATTTTGGGTACCCTAACCCTAAACCCCCAAACCCTCAACCCTCTACCCCTACACCCTAAACCCTAAACTCTCTACCTCTAAACCCTAAACCGCTGAACCCCTAAACCCCTAAACCGCTAAACCCTAAACTCCCTAAACCCTTAAACCCTGAACCCTAAACCCTAAACCCTAAACCCCTTTAACCCCCTATACCCTAAACCCTTTTGCCCTGAAAACTCTGAAACCTAAACCCCCTAAACCCTAAACCCTACGTACTATTCGAGCCACTCAGGGGTCATATAACCCTAATTAAGGCACTTATAACCATACTTCCTAAGTCCCATGATCCTCCCATTATAGACCCCTTATCCCTTTAAGGGACCCTATTATAGTACCCCCTTATCCCTTTAAGGGACCCTATTATAGAGCCCTATAGTACCCTTTTTAAGGGAACCCTACACCCTCCAAGTACCCAGGGCTCCCCAAGCCCTGGGCCTTCGCCGGACCCAGCGGATCCTTGGGCCAGATCTGGAGTCGCCACCTGCAGTGAATAGGGTTGAGGGAGTTTAGGGTTTAGGGGTTTCAGTGTTTAGGGTTTAGGGGTTTAAGGGTTTGGGGCTTAGAAGATGGGAAGCTTTTGCTGGTCTTAGAGAATTTAGAGCTTAGGATTCAGGGTTCATGCTTCGGGGTTTAGGAGTTTACGGTGGTTTCGGAGGTGAGGGGTTGGACAGCATTTGGGGCTTTGAGGGAGCTTGAATAGTTCGAGCGGGCTTTGGGTTTAGGCACCCTATATTTGTTCAGAGACTCCAATATCCCTTAATTAAGGCGCGCACGCGCACGCCAAAAAAAAACACCCTGAAGACAAAACCTAAAGAGGAGCGGCCGAGGGAAGTGTACAAAAGTGTGGCAGGCGCAGCAAAATCGTATGTTTTGACCTTCCCCCGCGGTTGCGTGGCAGAAGCAAAAACGGGACACGATTTCGTGTCCAGTTTCCTGGGCGTTCAAGGCGACCATCAGTGCTATCATCATCGAGGTCAACATTTTTATCATCCTCACAGTCACCATCGATATCACAATCATCTTCACCATTCTCATCATCATCGCTATCATCATCGTCATCAATGTGTTGAGCAGTGGGCTTTTTGTGTGCTCGGCAAAGCCGGCCTGAATTTATACTCTGGACCTGGGCTGCAAAGCTAGTCTTACGGCAGAAGGCGAAAACACTGGTGGGGCCGATGACTTTGAAGGTCGCGGCAAGTTTGTTGAGGTTTGTGGGTGGAAAAGGTCTGGGGCAAAAGGTCTTTGCAAGGTCACCTTTGCCAGATCGCCAGGTCATCATCATTGCTACCTCGATTGTTATCATCATCTTCATCATCATCGTTATCATCATCGCCATCGCCATCGATATCATCGTGACCATAGTAATTTTCATCATCATCGTTGTCTTCCTTGTCGTCAACATTTCGAGCGGTGGTTTTTTTTGGCGCGCAAGCCTTAATTAAGGAATTTGCCTCAAATCATACTAGGGATCCTACTAGAATTTAAGGTATATTCTCAATTAAGGGATATTGGAGTCTCTGGGTGAAACTCAATTGAAGCCTCCCAACCCAAAGAGCAAGACGGAAAGCCTCACGTAGACGACGCTGTTCACAGGAACGCTGATGGACCTCGGCTCCGAGACGTGCTAGGAATGGTGCACGTGGACCCGGCGTGTTCGATCGTTGAGGGCTTCAGCTAGACCAGCGAAAGCAGAACACTATCTGTGTGTATGAATTTTGTAAATGCACATGACTGTGCATGTGTACATTCGTATGTATATACATCAATGTGTATGTAGGAACACGAGAGAGAGAGAGAGAGAGAGAGAGAGAGAGAGAGAGAGAGAGAGAGAGACAGAGAGAGAGACAGAGAGAGAGACAGAGACAGAGACAGAGACAGAGACAGAGACAGAGAATGAGACAGAGACAGAGACAAGGGCAGGCAGACAGAGAGACAGAGACAGAGACAGAGACAGAGACAGAGACAGAGACAAGGGCAGGCAGACAGAGAGACAGAGACAGAGACAGAGACAGAGACAGAGACAGAGAGGGAGAGAGACTGTGTGTATGTGTGCTTACATGCAGGTATACTGCAAATGACTAAAAAGGTGACCGAAAGAAGAGTACACAAGCCATGCTGGTAATATCAGCAGCAAGGCACTGTTACTAACATTCCCCAATTATATAAGGAAAACAGCAGTACAGCAATACCAGTAGTTCTGCACTTTGGCATCGGGACTCAGGGCTGCGGCTCTTAGGCCTTAGGCACGTAGAACTCGGGACTTCTGCAGGCTTGCGGGTCTTCGAGCAACCGAAACAGCCAGTAATCGATTCCGGTAAAGTTTAGAAGCGGCCCCCACCCTGTAATAGTGACTATAAGGATTATATTAGGGCCCTATTATATTCCTATTATACCACTATTACAAGGTGGGGGCCCTTTCTAAGGCAAAGTCCTGAAGCCCGGCTTTTGAGTCGACGACCCGACTCTAAAGCCAGAAGGATTCTGCTTAGGGTTTGGAGCTTAAGTCTAGGATGTTCCAGGACCCTCCGATGGCCCTTTAATGGAGCCCTTATGGTCCCTAATAGTGAGTATTTTAGGGTTTTTCTAGAGGGTAGTTGGGTCTAGGGCTTATCAGTACCCGAATCGGCCAACTCTCGAAAGCTTGCAACCCTGGAGCCCTGCGCTGGAAGGTTTTCGAGCGAACTTTGCTCCCCTGGCACCGCAAACCTTACACGAAATCCCAAACCCCAAACCCTGAAGCCTCCATCCTGAAACTTGAACCCTAAACCTCACCACCCCACCAAACCCTCAACCCCGAACTACACCCCTAAACTCTAAACCCTTTGTAGGCCTTATAGCTCCGTTTTAGGAGCCCTTATTATAGATCCCTTTCCTCAAAACCTGCAATTTCCCTGTCTCATCGGCGGCTTCCCGATCCGAACTTGGAAGAATTGGGCCGCCAGACTGTATCTCCATCTTGTGGTGGTCACAGGTGGTCCTAGGGGCTTTAGGGCTTTGGGATTAGAGGTTAGGGTTTACGATGATATAAATCCTGCGTTACCTTAAGGACCCAAAACTATGGGAAGAATGGTACCTTCCTTATTATGGGCACTGCAGGATGTATATCATCAACCGTAGGGCTTTATGGGTTTGGGTTTAGGGCTTGAGTGTTAAAGTTTAGGGCTTAGGTTCGGTGTGTTAGGGTCTAGGCTTTAAACTTTACCTATTTAAAGAAATCTGGAATCTACAGGGTTTAGTGTTTTTCTACATGTGGCCTACCCACTACACAAAGCCGAGACTTAGAATTATCAGGCCGCAAGGTCTCCCAAACGCAACAGGAAATACGGGTTGCCCCCAAATGGAAACCTTACTCTATCTGGTCTCCAAAGCCTGAACCCTACACCCTCCTGCACCTGGAACAAGCGTTGCCTAACTATCTTTACCTTCAAGAAAGCCCAGGCTTTTTATGCCTCCTTCTTATGATTTCCTTGTACATCCCCATCAGAAGGTAGCACGGTAGGACCGTGGTGTTCCTGCGTATGGTGGCCTTGTACATTTTCCGTCGAAGCTTCCCATTCATGTCCTGCCCCTTGATGGTCTTTACTTACCTTTGGTTAGTAGGGAATGGAGGAATGGGGTACAATTAGAACTACTCTTACTACCATTCCTCCATTCCCTACAAACCAAAGGTAAGTTTAAGCCTTAAACCCGAAATCCCAGTCACGAAGAAAGCCAAAGTCAAGAGCCTGAATCAGAGCTGGGAAGCGCTGTACCAGACGGGGGTTTACTTAAAGGATGAGGGAACTTAGTAACTAGGGATATAAATAAGGTAACTATACTTATAACTGCTTATAACCCCAGTTAAGGTACCTATAACCATACGTACTAAGTCCCACGATCCGCCAAGTAGGGTGTCGGGCTCAGGGTGCCGTGTTTAGGGTGTAGCATGTTGTGCTTAGGTTTCAGCTCACAGGGTTTAGGGTCGTGAGATTTTGGGTGTTGTAGGGTTTAGGGTGTGGGGTCTGGGGTGTAGGGCGCAGGGTGCAGGGCTTAGGGTGTAGCGTTTTGGGCTGAGGTGTCAGTCAACAGGGCTTAGGGTTGAGGGTGTAGGAATTTGGGTGTAGCATGTAGGGTTTAGGGTGTGGGTCTAGGGTGTATGGTGCAGGGTGCGGGGTTTAGGGTGTAGCGTGTTGGGCTCAGGTGTCAGTTTTTGGTTGATGGTGGAGGATTTAGGGTGCAGGGTTTACAGTGTAGCGTTTCAGGTGTGGGGTTTAGAGTGTGGAGTTAAAGGTGTGGGATTGCGTGTGTAGCGTGTAAGAGTTTAAGTTTCAGTTTCAGAGTTTAGGGTTGAGGGGTTAGGGCGTAGGGTTTAGGGTGTGGGGCTTAGGGTGTGCGATTTCGGGTCTAGGTGTAGGGCTTAGGGTGTAAAATTTCGGGTCTAGGTGTAGGGCTTAGGGCTTAGGGTGTAGGATTTTTAGGGTTTACAGATATACTGCTTGATGCGACTAGTGTGATGTACGGTCCTCACCACTTGGCGCATCAGATCAATCGTCGTCCGGTAGGCCTGAAGGTGAGGCTTAAGGCTTAAGGGGTTTAGGGTTTAGGGTTTAGGGGACTTTGCAAGTAGGGTTATAATTAATGTAACTATACTTGTAATTACTTATAACCCCTCTTAAGGTACTTGTAACCATACTTACTAAGTCCCATGATCCTCCAACTGAAGGCTTAGGCCTAGTCTGGATGTAGGGTTTGTGAGTTGTGCTGCCGGGACATGCCGACTGGGACTACCAGAGAACCAACTTCTTCGCAAGACCTCACGGGTTTAGGGTGGAGGTGTCTCGGGCGTCGTACATTGTGACCCTTGACACGTGACATGCCCTAACCGTCTGAATCCCTAATACCCTAAACCCTAAATTTTTAACCCTAAACCCTGAGGTCTACATCATCTGCTCGTGGTTCTTCGTTGTGCCCTACCTGCACTCGCGCTTGCTTCATCCTTTTTGGTCATCTTTGCTTTCATGCGAGATAGCATAATCTTTCACACTCAGAGCAGCTCGTGCAATCCTTCATGTAAACACACTTAATGTTTCGACCGTCTCACATAACAACATACAGATCTACTGCTTGTAAAAATGCTTGAAACACATGTCTACGTACATTGACAATCCACAAACTTGGTTAGTTGCGCAGACAGCTGAAGCCTGTATCCATCCGAGAATCCAGATACCGGTGCACATACACATGCATGTGCATGCACAGGCACGCCACAGCATACACAGCATGCACAAAGGGCACTTGCCGCCCGCCTACCTCACTCATATCCCCAAAAAACCAAAGAACTAAACCTAAGGCGTAAGCCCCCAAACCCTGATCCGACCCGCTTTCAGGGTGCCAGGCCGATAGTCCCTTCATCTGGACGTTCGGTAGTCGAGCGTCCTCTGCCACCACTGAGGGGCCTCAGCAGGGTTTAGGGGTTAGGGCTTAAGGGGTTTAGGGTTTAGGGTTTTAGGGGTTTTAAGGTTTTAGGGTTTTAGGGCTTTAGGGTTTAGGGTTTGGGCCTTAAGGTCTTTTTGGGTTTCGGGCGCAAGATCGAGCAGAACGCAAAGGGACATTCGGGCCGGGCAGGGTGCCAGGTTTAGGTGTAGGCCCATGGCCCCCTTGACACCTCATCCAGCGGGCCAGAAAACTTACCTTGGGTTAGTAGGGAATGGAGGAACGGGATACAATTATAACTACTATTACTACCATTCTTCCAGTCCCTACTAACCAAAGGTAAGAAAAACAGCGACAGAAGGTCTCAGAATGAAAGGTTGCACGACCTCAGGCGCTTTGGGCTTGAAGAGAAGCGCTCCGTGCATCGAAACACGAAACAAGAGCAGACTCCACACCGGTTATAGGAACATCCTGTCCACATTCGCCTGGCTGTGCTCAAGCTAGAGAGCCGGGCGCTCCCCATCAAGGGTTTAGGGCTTTAGGGTTTTAGGGTTTTCGGGTTTAGGGTTTAAGGGTTAGGGTTTCGGAATTAGGGTTTGGAGTTTAGGGTTTAGGGTTTAGGGCAGCACCGAGCTCCAGGCTGAAAATAGAGTAGTCCAAGTCGTACGATGCATCAAACCTCGAGATGCAGGACCAACGGTTCGGGATGAAAAGCCTCACCCCGAAGTCCATTGCATGCTCGACATACACGTACTTATTCTGTTGTTTTCGTGCGTTCTAGACACAGGTCCGCCCGAACATCGTGTGAGCGGCGTGCTCTATGATACAATATCTATTTCACTCACCTTCACTGCATGCTTCCCACTACCCCGGTCCACTAGCTGCATATCTCATTCCGCCGAATGTGCAACTTCTCGATATCACATTGATATCGCTTGACGCCTCAGGTTACAGGCGAGGTATCAATGCGTAATGAAAAAGGTCTATATAGTTGTATTCGAACTAGATCTCTACATGTTCCTGTACATATCCACAAGCATGTCTCCTAATTCAAACTTGGCGTACGGATTCTTAAGCTTCTTGTCAGCACAGGTTTCTTGTGCTTTCTTGTAAGACAACACTTTTCGTGCTACTATGTAATTGGTGAGTGTCATACACTGCTGCTTGTCTCAACCGGTATTACGTTGTGCTGAACATCCCTTTTCGAACTTTGCACATAACCGGACCGTTGTCTGCCACATGCTTTAATAAACGAAAAAGATGTGTGTACACACACATATGTATGTGTATATATATATATACATATGTACATGTGTATATATACATGTACATATGTGTATACATATGTGTATATATATATATATATATGTATGTATGTGTCTATATATATATATGTATAAATATGTGTATATGTATGTATGTATGTATGTATGTATGTATGTATGTACGTGTTTGTGCATGTACATATGCATGTATGTGTGTATATATATATATATGTATATATGCTCACTATGGCCTTAAGCCCTGAACCCTAAACCCGACCTGAAACCTCAAACCGGAAACTTGAAAGAACCGACTCGGCCCATTCTCGATTGTCGGGGCCGGCGCATGTGAGGCACATCTCGTCTCAGCACGTCGAGCCTCAGGCAAACAAGGGATTGCGCTTCAGGGTTCCGGGTTTGGGGATTGAGAGTTGAGGGTTTAGGGTGTAGGCTTTAGGTTTCGGGGATTGAGGCTTTAGGGTTTAGGGTGTAGGTTCTAGAGGGTCTTGGGTATTTAGGGTTTAGGGTTGAGGGATACAGGATTTAGGGTGTAGGGTTGGATCCTTAAGGAGTTTAAGGCCTCTTCCTGTCCCCCGACTTTCCCGGCCCAACTCGAAGGGCTTCAGAGCTCAGTGTGGTGCGCATGTCCCAGGTTGAGCCTGAAGTTGCGTGCCTGAAGGCGCAGGCGCGGATTCGGGGGGGGGGCGGGGGGGTTAGGGTTTTAGGGGTTTTGGGATAAGGATTTGGGGTTCAGGATTTCGGGGCGGGGGGGCGGGGGGGGCGGAGGTACCAGTAGCGTGGTTTGATCTCGCAACTCTCAGGTCACCAGTTGTTGGACACTCGTGTCAGCCTGCATCTTTGCAGGCGCAGACGGCTGGATACTCTATGATCGGTCCAAGATATATCTTAAATTAAAAGCAAGTGTGCCACGAAAACATATCCCATGCCAAGCCAACTTGCTGCACCTCTCGCATCGCGCGGTCGCTGTCATCTTCTGAAACACCTGTGGCTCAAGAAATGTCCTTGGTGAAAGCTTGGGGCTCTGCCGGACTTCTGAAAACGCGACGTGACAGCATCCCACGCTCCAGGGCTTCTTCTAGCGAGACATATACTGTTGATGATAAAAATCCTGCATGACCTTAAGGGCCCTAAACTATGGGAATTATGCCACATTCCTTCTTATGGGTAACGCAGGATTTATATCATCAACCGCAGACTAGCTGCAAAAACACTGTTGGCTCAAACACCAATAGTTCTCGAAACATACTGTAGACGACACAAGCAACGGTTCCGAGATATCACAGGTGGTTCTTGCCATGGAAGTACTAGTAGTAGTAGTAGTAGTAGTAGTAGTAGTAGTAGTAGTAGTAGTAGGAGTAGTAGTAGGAGGAGGAGATGCCAGAAACCGGCCTGCAGTGGCCACTCGCCTCGCAGGTGCCCGGACTTACCGGAGTTTCCGGTTTCAGGACAGGACATCCGGGGGAGTTGCAGCGTTCAGAAACTCTACAGTCAAAGGGTCGAGCATAGAACAACAACTAGAGAGATAAGACTGTGAAGACGGCAACAATGATGCTGAAACAAACCATCCTCGTGCTGTCACCATCCCTCATCATGCAGCTACCATCGATATCATCAGCAGCAGCAACAGCATCATCATCCGCATCATCTGTGCCATCGAAATCATCATCAGCAGCAGCAACAGCATCGTAAGCATCGCAGTCATCCGCATCATCGCCCTTTACATAAGCAGCATAAACTTCTTCTTCATAGCACACTTGCCATCCTGTTCACAATCTAGCTCATCAGCAGCATCATCATTCAGCATTTCCATCAAACTGCCATCATCATCATCGGATCATCACAGTGTCATCATCATGGCATGCTCCTCGGAACGTTTTCGTTGCATGCTGTGACAAACTTCACTGAGCTCACGACGACACACACACACATACACACGCCTTCACTATGGATACACAGATGCATATGTATAAATATAAATATATGTATACATATATCCTTGTAGCATCCTTGTGGTGCCTTTCTAGTAGCCTTGTAGTATCCCTATAGTGAGCCTCTTCAAACTTGGCGCAGCAGGTATAATATACCTCAAAACCTTAGTCGAATCATAAAGGCCCCTGTACTACAGTGCCGGTATAGATCCCTTACACAACCCCTTAAATAACCCTTACAGATCCCTTACAACCCTCCAAAGAACCGTCATAGATCCCTGAAAGAACCTTTCAAACGAACCCTTATGGATCCCGAAAACGTTTCCTTCAAAGAACCCTTGCAAATCCCTTAAAAAACCTTTCAAGAGCCCTTATAGATCGCTTTAAAAGAACCCCTTATCGATCCCGAAAAGTAACCCTGCAAAGAACACTTCAAGATCTTGTATACAACCAATTGAAAGAACCCTTGCCGATCCCGTATAGATCCCTGAAACAACCCTCTAAAACCCTTTTAAAACCCTTACAGAACCCTGAAAGTAACCCTTCAAAACCCTAAACCCTACCCTTTTTCGGACCCCTTATAGATCCCTTTAAAGGAACCCTTTAAAGGAACCCTTTAAAGGAGACCGAACGGGAGCCTCTGCGGTCGGGGAGTCCTCCAGGAGGTGCCTCGCTGTGGCGGAGCGCTGGAGGACCCCAGCTCTGCGTGTTTCCGAATCCCATCGGGATTTAAGGGTTTAGGGTTTAGGGTTCCGGGTTTAGGAGTTTACCAGTTTAGGGGTTTAAGAGTTTAGGGTTTAGGGTTCAGGGTTTGGGGGTCTAGGGCCTTGGGAGCATAGGGGTTTAGGGCTTTAGGGGTTCAAGGGCTTACTTGGAGCATCATGGGACTTAGTAACTAGGGTTTAGGGTTCCCTTAAAAAGGGTACTATAGGGTTCTATAATAGGGTCCCTTTAAGGGATAAGGGGTCTATAATGGGAGGATCATGGGACTTAGTAAGTATGGTTATAAGTACCTTAATTGGGGTTATAAGTAGTTATAAGTATAGTTACCCTAGCTAGAACCCTATTATAAAGTCCCATGATCCTTTAAGTAGGGTTTAAGGAACAAAGGCAAGGGCATGTAAGGGCTTGAAGTTTAAGAATTTAGTTTAGGGTTTCAGGAACCAAGGTAAGGGCATGAAGTTTAGGATCTAGGGTTTAGGGTTTCAGGAACCCAGGTAAGGGCTTGAAGTTTAAGATCTAGGGTTTAGTGTTCAGGGTTTCGGGTGTGGGGTTTAAGGCGCACGGTTTATGGTTTAGGGCTTAAGGCCTAAACTCTTGGGGTTTGGATTTCAAGGTTCATGGCTTAAGGTTCAGACCCTGTATCGTACTAGCTCAAGAGACCGAACTCCAGACTTGACGCCTTAGATCAAACCAAGGTGCCGATGCACCCTGGACGGGAAAGGAAACTTTGCGGCGTTGTGCGGTCCTTAGGCGAAGGTGCTGCGTGGGTGAATGGAATCTGCAGTGACAACGCATCTTTCAAGTTCACCTCTGCTAAGCAAGTCAAACGCTGCCTATGTCCATCAGTACCCATGCATGTTCTGCTGTGTGTGTGTATGTATCTATGTATCTATGTACCCGTGTGTCTATGTATCTATGTGTCTATGTCTTTATGTATCTATGTGCCTATGTACCTATGTACCTGTATATCTATGTATGTATGCATCTGTGTATGTATGTATGCATGTACGTGTGCATGTGTGTAAGTATGTATATACATATGTATGTATATACATATGTATGTATACACGTATGTATGTATATATGCATGTATGTGTGTATCCTGCCACACACAAGACCCTTGCTCTGATACGACCCGCATTTCGTCGGTGATGCGTTGAAGAACTCAATGTTCTGCTTCAACGCGTTTGCAGCAACAAGAAGTCAATCAAGACATAAAACATACTTCGCAGGCCACAACACTCTCAACAACACACGACCATACAGCCTCATGGTTCAAACGCTCTGAGTTCTCCGCGGCATGCACGAGCACGACGACCAAACACAGTACCAGAATCGGAAGCCTGGACGAAGATCAGAGAACGACCATCTTATCATATATACTGTATAATGCACAATATACAATATGTACTGTATAATTTAAGTATGCAATATTTAGTATATCATGTAAAGCATACAATACATAACCTGAAATAGAGTAGCTGCAACCAACGCGGCAAGTAATTTTAATTTTGGTGATAACCGCAGCGTCAAAGGGTGATGCTGTTGCTCATGACGCCGAATGTTGCTGAGAATGGAGCAAAAGAAGAAGATGATGATGCTTTAAACGCGAATACGCTTTCAGTGTGCTGGCTCTCATTGGCCAAATCGTCTCGTCATTCTTCCACAACTCTGCTGACTATGCTTGCATATATTCTTCCCGAATGTCCGGAGTTTGCTCAGCTGTGACTGCTTTTCTTGCAAAAACAACTACCACGATGCAACGACGAAGGACAAGCACGACGAACGGAACGGCGACGGCGACGAGGACGAAGGCAAGGGCGAGGACCAACGCTGCGGCTGCTGCCGTCGTTGCCGTTTGTATTGCCCTCGGTGTACCTAGTTCTGACCCATTTGCCAAGATCATCTTTGCAGATTGCTTTCGGAACTGCGACTGCAGCTTCCTTATTTCAACACATGGTACTTAGAGGATCATGAAACTTAGTAACTAGGGTTATAATTTAAGTAACTATACTTATAACTACGGTAAGAGTGTTTGTTTTGCTGTCGTTACATTTTTGCTGTCGTGGCGGGGCGCGTTTTTTTTTTGCTGTCGTTGCGGGGGCGCGTTTTTTTTTTGCTGTCGTGGCGGGGGCGCGTTTTTTTTTTGCTGTCGTCCCTGCGGGGCGCGTTTTTTTTTTTGCTGTCGTCCCTGCGGGGCGCGTTTTTTTTTTTACTGTCGTCGTTTTTTTTGCTCCCTGCGGGGCGCGACTTTTTTTTTTGTGTTCCCCTGCGGGGCGCGTTTTTTTTTGGCTGTCGTCCCTGCGGGGCGCGTTTTTTTTTCGGCTGTCGTGCCTGCGGGGCGCGGTTTTTTTCGCTGTCGTTGCGCTCCCCGGGCGCTTGTTTATTATCATCATTATTATTACTACTACTACTATACTACTACCACAACAACAACAACAACTACTACTACTACTACGACTACTACTACTACTACTACTACTACTACCATCAGCACTACTACCACTACTACTACTACTACTACTACTACTACTACTACTACTACTACTACTACTACTACACTAGTACTACTACTACTACTACTACAACCACTACTACTACTACTACTACTACTACTACTACTACTACTACTACTACTACTACTAAACTACTACTACTACTACTACTACTACTACTACTGCTACTACTACTACTGCCACTACTACTACTACTACTACTACTACTACTACTACTACTACTACTACTACTACTACTACTACTACTACTACGTTTGGCTCCTGCATGGCGCGTCGACTGACTGCATAGCAGGTGACAGTTGAGTATCGTAAGCTCCGACCTTACAGCGATGCGAAGCAAAACTACTGCTTTTGTTTCGCCGTTTTGTTGCGCGTGCCGGGGTTTCTTGCTTCGCACGTAGTACACACCCCTCAAATGCATGTGTTCCGTAATAGTGATGACGGAATACGTATATTACAGACAAGCATTCGGTCGGAAACATGTCTGTATGACAGAATCAAGGCATATTCCACCCATATATTCCTTCTAGGAAATATACGTCTTCTCAGTTCACCTCCACATCGCCCTACCTATACTACACTACTACTCCTGCTGCTACTACTACTACTACTACTACTACTACTATAGTACGGGTGGAGTTTTATTTTGGTCCTTTTTTGTTATTTTTGGTTTTTATTGTTCTTATTTGGGCCCCCACGTCCTATTATTTACACAGGATGCCGGCTGAATGTGTCGCCCCATGTGGTGCCGTGCACAATTTTGGTTGATTTGATTTCGATGTCTGAATGGTGTTTTGTTTCTAAACGACTCATCTCAGGCATCGCGGGTTTCAAGAACGACTCCTATAGGCTGTCATGCAACCTTGCGCGCGGCTTAAAACAGCGGGCCCCATTCGCAATCACGATGCTCGCATGGCTGGTTTACAACAAAATCATATGGGCGGCGGGGGGGGAGCGAGGTTAAAAGGGGGCAGCCAGTCAGGATGCTCGCATGGTTGGTTTTAAACAAAACGCATATATATTCTTGGATGTGCTTCAATCAATGCTGCTGCTCAAAAGCAGCACCGTGCATTCTCAGAGTCTCCACTTTTCGCACGCTTGCTCAGCTTCCACTCTCAAGCAGAAGAGGACGGCTTCCGCCGTAGAGAGCTCTCAGCCCCTCGTTCGAGACTGAGAGCCGAAGTTGTCAATTAAAGTCTGCGGCGGAGGGGTGGCGGTGGCCGAAAAAGCTTCAGGATTCATGCACTGCACTATCAATCAGCACACAAAGAATGCAAGCCATTCTTGGATGTGCTTCAATCAATGCTGCTGCTCAAAAGCAGCACCGTGCATTCTCAGAGTCTCCACTTTTCGCACGCTTGCTCAGCTTCCACTCTCAAGCAGAAGAGGACGGCTTCCGCCGTACAGAGCTCTCAGCCCCTCGTTCGAGACTGAGAGCCGAAGTTGTCAATTAAAGTCTGTTTTCCCACTGTGCCCTACTCGGGCGGGCGGGCGGGGCCAAGCGTGTTCGACGAACCCCTCGAACTGCAAACCGATAGTAAGCTTGCAAAACAGTCAGAAAACAGTTGAACCCGGTGCCGCACTTTTAGAGGAAACCGAACTAAATTTTCCAAGGCTCCCAGCTCCTGCACATAAATCTCGAGCATTCGGAACGATCGCCATCGTCCACGCCACTGTAACCTGGGCAAGTTCTCATCCCACTGCCGGAACAAGTAAGTTGCCCCACCAGGCCGCAGTGACGACGGGAGAAAAGTACAGGTGTTCAGAACCTCAATCTGTAGGAGATTGAACCGATGCTTGAAGGCCGCCCACGAGCCATTCAAGATGCGACGCCACATCGGTGTGGAACTGATCATCTGAGATACCCAAGCTGCAACTCCCGGCTCGTCCACTCGGACATGCTGACTGTGAGCTGCACGATTCCTCGTCTTTGGGTGTCCCACACGGATGTAGACTACTTCGCCTTCCAGGTGATCCTCGGGCAGGGACAAATCGTGCCTGCGAAGACAGATAAGCTCGGATGGTCTCAACAATCCAAAAAAGCCCAACACCAACACTACCGCCAGTCGCCGCCATTTCCACAGCAGCGCAGTAACGACAAGTGCACGTAGTATTGGAGCAGAAATCGGAGGATGATGCTGGACCGGCTCCAATCCTTCCCAGGTTCGGATCACATTCCAAGGCCCTGCAAGCGAGGATCTCAGCCAGCCAAACTGCTGAGCCAGAGCGTTCAAAGTCTCCGCCGCTGCTCGTCGACTTTTGTTCTGAAGAAACATGAAAATCATATATTCTTCGAGCCATTCGGACAGCACGTCGGTGAAGCTCCTGGCCAGCATCTCCACAGTGAACCCCAGGACCTGAGGCAGCAGCCACGCCTCCAGGTCCAGGATGAGCTGCGTCCGGATGGCATGAGTCTTCTCGGTGACCCTGCCACGCACCAGCTGTTCTCGGACACGAGGGACCCGATTCGGCACTCGAGGCGCCGCGACCGGAAGCACGCAGAAGCAAAGCACCACCCAGCAGAAACCAGCGATTGAGTGCCCTCGGCAGACCTTGTAGGTCATCTAAGCACCTTCTCGCCTCCGCCGATCCCCTCCGGAGTTGCCAGAACCATGAAGGCACGGGCGCACGAGGCTCCTCCACAGGAGCCGAACGGCTAGGGGCGTCCGCGCGAATGGACCAGGTAGGGAGGTGCACTCCCGACAAGTAAAGGTTTTTGCCAAGAAGGTGCGGTGCCTCGGTTCTCATCACAGCGTCGAGGGCCTCAGAGGGACTCCGACCTTTACCCAAAACACCCAAATTAACCCTGCTATCCTGGCAAACCACGACCCTACTAGAACCCTGCATACGTTTGACCAACGACCTCCTAGCTTTAGCCTCTTGAATGTTGATGTGCGTCACGGTTCGAAAGCGATACTGCATGATAGTCCTCCAACGCAAACTTTCAGAGAGTTGCACGGCCCACAAAGTTGAGCTCCTCTTCTGACGAGCCTTCGAAGAACGAACCACTTTCGCAGCAGCTTCTTTGTGACAAGCTCCCGTTTTACACTCATCCTCAAAGTCCCAAACAGCCTTGCAAAGAGTGACAACCTGCTTACAAAAAGCTTCGCTGTGTGACTGCATGTCCGAAGTGTGGTTGTTGTCCGGCGTCCCATGCGACTTCCTATGCCTACACCTAGAGCTCAGACTCTTAAGGGCCTCAAAGTTCGTAAGCATCCTAGTCGATTTCCGGAAATCACAATCGTACTGGCACCAATCAAACATCACTTCAAACGCTCCAGCTTTCAACAGGGAGACCCACGGGCCCACGCTCCGCAGTACTCCCAAAGCAGGTTGTTCAAGCGCAAACTTTAAACCCGAAAAGGCCTGAACCCAAACTAAAAGTAAAGACTGTGCGGCATGGAGATTACCCAGCATCGTGGCTTTATCCAACAGCTGGAGTCCCCAGGGTTGTTTCAAACTACGCAGTCTCGGAGTGCGAGCCGGACTGAAGCTAGTACGGGGAGGAGACAACCAAACAAACTTAACTCTCCTACACCTAACCATCCCTAAAATCCCCCAAAACAACGACTGATCTTTGAAATCACATCCCTCGTCCAGCTTCAAAGGTGGAAGCACTCTGAACTTTTCCGCTGCCCAAGCCGCGGACATCCGAGCATCTCCTGTATACACCTCAAGGAAATCGAAAGCGCCCTCTCCTAGTTGAGAGGGAATGGCAAGCCTCCAGCCATGCCGCGCAAAGGTGTCCAGGTAGCTCTCTGCAAAAGAGGAAGGACTCTGAAACTGCCTGTCCGATGCAGTCCCAGGTCCCCCTTGTATCTCAGCCT